TTATGGCTCTCTCTGCATTTTCTCCAGCCTTTAAGTCAATTTTGTGGCGCTTTTTCTGTAGTAGGTCAATTTTTCAACATCCCTTAAAACATTTGTTCACAGTGGAAATTGATGTGATATTCCAGCTTTGGTCCCACCAGTGCCATATATAGAGCTAAAAATCACAGATTMCTGCTCGCTGTTCTCCTTTTTACACATCCAGGGATCAATTTAGCCCTTTTATGCTGTGATACTGGATGTTGCTCGACTTCAGGCTTGCAGTTCTTCACAGCGCAGTTCTCCATCCTGAACATCAGCGTTCCTTGTTCCCACCTCTGAGGTCCATTTCCCTTTAGTAAAAGCAATCTTGTCCTAATGGTTCCAGATAGCAAATGGGCCTACATGATATGCATGACTTCTAGTTATTCTGCCTTATTGATCTTTATTTTCTATAAGTTTAGGAGACATGACTTATGTCAAGGTTTTCCTTTTGGGATGTTGCATTCTCTCAAAGCCCCCACTGGAAATACTCTGGTGATACCAGGGTGAGGAATCCTTGACTAGGTTAGATACTTCTCAATTAACCTTCCTCCTCTTAGCCTGTTAAATATTTGCACTGTGAATGCTGTACAGTGAGAAAGTTAAAGTATTTTGTCACAGGCTGTTGAAAATCTATTACCTTATCAATCACATGTGTAATCCTGTCAGTGAAATCGGGTTTGTGTGATACAGCTCCTTTTCTAGAATATCACGGTATTTATTCTTATCTTTTTGATTCCTGATCAGTTTAGTTAGATAGCATCTTTCCATTTTTTTTCCCCTGGGATTGATGTCAGGTGAATGCCCCGCAATTACCTAGTCATCTCRCTCGCCCTTTTGATAACAGTCACGTTATCAGCACTCGTCCCGCAACACCCAAGTATGCAAAGTGCTATTAAAAATGAATGTCATCAGGGCAGAGCGTTCTGGGCTTGCTYGAGATGGCTGAGTGTAGTTAATGCCTGAATTTAAAACTCCTCATCCATTAGGGAACTCTAATACCCTGCTCAGGCAGCGAGTGGCCTGGGAATGATGCCTTAATCCCCTCAGGATGCTTCTTTCCAAACAGAAAACAGAAATGTGAGCTGTTCCCAAAGCCARTGTGTCCCTGCCACATTTCCCCCCTCTTGAAAGGTTGCACGTGGCATTTATATATTCAAATAGGTAAAYGGGAAGCTTCTTGAAAAGCTGGGGATAAACAGAAGTAGGTGGAATTCACTGTGAGGGTGACAGAGCCCTGGAACAGGCTGCCCAGGGAGGTTGTGGAGTCTCCTTCTCTGGAGATYTTCCTAACCCACCTGGATGCCACCCTGTGCCCCGTGCTCTGGGTGTCCCTGCTGGAGCAGGGGGTTGGACTGGGTGATCTCTGGAGGTCCCTTCCAACCTCAACCATTCTGTGATTCTGTGAATTGAACTCGATGTCAAGAAGTAACAGAATGCTGTGTTGGGTGGACACACCAAGGTAAGTAAGTTATTGAAAGAACTTTTTTAAATGGAAACTGAGTGGCTGCCAAAATTCCAGTGGGCTTTAAAAACTTGCCTGGCTTTGCCAGGGCTGGTTAGTTTTACCTGTGCGGAGGGCAGTGTTTCTGGTGGACCTTGTGCTGCAAATTAAGAACTGCCCTGTTTGACAGAGTTCCCCATCGAGGTATTGGTTCCTTTCTATCTGTAAAATATATATATATATATATGTATATATATATTTACAAAGCTTTATATTTTTTATGGGATGGGAAGAAGGGCCGAGCAGAAGCTTTTGTAGGAGTGTCACTGGTGGCTTCGTGTCTGCTCCTCAGCCATAAACACATGAGAACACGGGACACAGGAGGGTACGTGCGTTGCGTGACACGAAGCAGGCTCTCTCTTAGCTGAAGCTGTCCTGACAGTCGCTGGCCCTGCATTAMCTACATTGCTGCATAATACCCCAGTGGGCAGCACCGTCCTCTGGACAGGCTGTGAACGAGCTCGGTGTCTTCACCGGTGTGAAGCATGCAGTGTGGGATCTGGGATGGCAGCTCTGAAGGCCAGGAGAAGGCTGGTCGGAAGGAACACATGATGGAATTGAAACCAGCAGGTAGCCTTTCCAGCCGTTATGTTAGGGACTGCTACTAACAAAACAAAAATCAGAGGTTGATCTGGCTTGATGTCTGCACCGGAGCTTCCTTCTCCAAGGTGCTAGATGAGCCAAAATGTTTAACTCTGTGTGCAAAGCCCTACTGATGGAAGCAGAATGTGCTTAGATAAAGGAAACTGATTTATTTCCCTTTAAGAAATCCATTTGCTGAACAGAAAAGGGTGCTATGAAAAGAAGAGCACCCAGGACCAGCTCAGTGCCACAGGGCAGCAGTTTTTCCGAGGCAGCTCTGCCGGTTTCGTGTCCCTGGGATGGGCTGCTGTGGTGGCCGCTCTTGGTGCTCGAGGAGAGGCTTCGTTTCTGCCGCCACGCGCGGCCTGGCGCAGGGATCCGGCCGTGATGGCAGCTCTTGACAGCTTAAATTCAACCCTTGGTGAGTGTTGAATCATACCCCAAACAGSTTGGCTTTTCAGGGGAAAAAACAGTGTTTCTGCTCTGTTATCACTGTCCAGCTTAATGTAATGAGTGAAGGAGGCACTGGGCCTGAGACGCATCCCTCTGCTTCTCTCAAGACTGTTTTCTTTCTGGCTTTTCAAGTTACCAACCCAAAACTCATGCCCATGGTCAGAGCTTCCTGCCACCTCCCCATGTGTGTTGGCATCTCCTACCAGCTCAAAGTGTCCTTTGGCTTGTTTTTTAGCAGACTTCTGAAGGAGGAGAAGGCATTAAGGGCTTAGCTTAAGGGTCTCATCCAACTGGAGAAGCTTGGATTATCATGAAAAGTTGTAAAAATRTCAAAGGGGAAACACAGCCCGTTCTTGAAGGGATTTGGGTCCTGGTGAAATGTCAAAGAAATTCGAACAACCTTGAGCACTCTGAAAAGTGTGTCCTGTGAGTGAGATACAAAAGTGTTTGGACCAGAGGACACGGTGGCTTCCATCTTTTAGACATCACGGCAGCGTAGAGTAGAAATCCCAACTTTCATTAAAAAACAAACAGAAAATGAAGAGCCTTGCTGAGCAGAATCCAAAATCCCTTCTAAGAAAGTCCTGCAATGACAATGCGTGAAAACTTTGGAAGGTACTAGGCATGTAAATCTTGGCTATATATTTACATATATATATATGTGTGTGTGTGTGTGTGTGTGTGTGTGTATAGTCAATCCAAACATATATTTATATATGTATATATTAGGGAAACTAACTGTAATGAAACAACTTTCATCCCTGACCAGGATAAAAACTAAGGTGGCATCGTCTCTTGTTCACTCATGACAAAATTAATCCAAGCTGGATGCTGGATCTAGATCTATAAATATATTTATTATAATATAACAAGAACTTAACAGTAAACATAAACTATATACAATACCATTACAGATAACCCTGTTTTTAATATTATTCACAGAAAGAGCCAGTTTTGTTCCAGTGTGAGAAATGAAGAAATGTGCTAAATTGGAAATGTTGAATGTGTTTAGGTCTTGTTGACAGGTAGCACCTCCTTTGGAGGCAGACACACACCAACGCTAAAATTAGTCCTGCCCCAGGCAGTTAGAAACTTGTGCTCCAATCTTTAGGTTCACACTTGCACCCTGTTCGACATAAATACTTTAAATGACATACTAGTATATATTTTCTGTTGTGCTTATTTTTTTTTCTTTAAAGAATAAATAAAACAACTGCATAACAAAGGCTGGAACCTCACTGTCAAAATGAGAGACTTGAGTCACCCTATAGCTTGACTCAGCTGACTTGAGCACATTTTTTAAATACTGCAAGATACAAATTTCTTTTTTTTTTTATTTTTATAAACGATTATTAATAAAATAAGATGATTAGCTAACCATCTGCATTGATTTTCCCCAAAGCTGTAGGCAGACCTCCCTCAGTATAAAAAGGCTAATGTATTTGGTATGAAATTCAACTAGATATTGACTGCGACACCTCACCCACACCTTGTAAAAGACCTCCTGGAAAACCATCATGGCATTTGGAATTTGAGTCTGCAAAGGCAAGTATGGTAACGTTTTTTCCTTCTACTTGGAAAGAAATCGGACAATCCTTGGACAATCCTTAGCTTGGGGTTATTTTCTAGCTGTTGTTCTGAAGAGTCTTTTCCCTGCCCGTTCTGTATCACCCCGACCATCTCCCATGTGATCTTCTGATGTATAAATTTATAAAGAATTTCCACATCACAATGCTTCTCTGGATAGACAATATTTTAATATATATAAAAATATAACCCCTGTGCTGTGTATATACTTACAACTCTACATAGTAATCGTTTTAAGTCTGTTATACTGGGCTTAATCTATGCATTTTTTCTACCATGGGATTTAAACTTGTGTGCTTAAAATCTGTAAATAAGAAAAGTATAAGGTAGCTTCCCACACCTAAGGGGGAACTTTGAGAACAACAGGAGCAACACCCGCAGAAACCCCTCACACTTTACATAAGAGGAAAAGATAGTGGCGTATAACCCAGCGTAAGGAGTTTTGATGACAGCCCGACATGMGTGCGTAGCTGCAGCGGGACGCATCTTCTCAACCTCTTTAAAATGTGTATCCCTCTCACATTACAGCGTATTTATTTTAAAACGACTCCAATCAGAACTAAAACGTTTAATCAGGGGAAGGCCTCTGCAGTCTAAGCCAATTTTGTTTTGCACTAGGGACTCGACCACTGTCAGGTTTGCTCAGCAGCAGAAAACAGGAGGAAAGCGCCAGACCTTCACCCCAGCCCCTTGCCCACGAGTGTACGCGTGCCCACGCACCGGCAGCAGAAACTCATACAACCCAACAGACCCTTGTTTTTGTTCTTTTTTTCTTTTTTTTTTCTCATCATATTATGTGGAATTACATTCCCAGTGGCTCCCCCAGCCCCCACCTCACCCCCCTTTTGGGCTCTGCTCTCGAATACGGAACTATCCATTTGATCCGATGGAAGACTGACATCAACGTAAGCCATCTGTCACACAAGCTTCATCTCAGTCATTGGTATTGAAAAGCATGTATTTGTTAAAAACAAATGTAGGAATCAAAGTGGTAAGGACACTTTGACCTTCCAAGGAGCCTGATGCCTAAAGTGTAGCAGTAAAACTAATCTGCATGGTTATTTTAAGAATCAAGCTTGAGCTGTAGAAGTAAAATGCAGATTTTCTTCCTCGCTTCCCCAGCTTAAAAAATATGTGAAATTCTATTGCACCTGGGTTGACCAAAAGCCGACGTCCAGAACAAGTGCCACTATAACATCTAGTGACACCCTTGTATTATTAAGTTACACTATCATACATAGCACGGAGCTCTCTGCTCCTTGTTCACCAAAAGGTGAGGATGATTTCTCTACATTCAATGTAGACTCTTTATTCAAGACTTTAGAGCGATGTGTTCACTGGTCGCCTGTCTCTGCCGTGTGTGTTGGTTTAGGAGCAGCGTCTTCCCCGCCTGCTTTGGGCAGGGACAAGCAGTTCTCGGCCCCGCTCCGCGCTACCCTCAGCCGCTCTGGATGTACTTCTTGATTACTACGCAGCCGTGCCGGAAAACGGGGCACGGCATGTTTGGGAGAAGCGTCCAAGTGTTTGTCTTGGGCTCGTAGGCTTCCATGTTTCCCAGCGCGGGGCCTTCGCTGCTCACAATCCCACCCGTGGCGTAAATTTTTCCGTCGAGAACCACAGCGCTAYGTGAAAAAAAGAAAGTTTTAGTTAGTCGCCTTATTGAGCGGTTMGTGTTTTATGCTTCAAAAGAACAAATCTCTTACAGCAAGGGGGTAAACTGTGMAAACACCTTTTGTTCTTATCTTTAGAAAGCTGTGTGGGCATTTCTCTTCCCTCTCTGTTTCTCTCCCAAATTATCCCTTTTCGTGTTCCTGCCAGCTAGGTAAGTGTTGCCTAGAACTTAAACAACAGCAATTAAGTTGAAAAAGATGTAGTTTATCCAACCCACACCTGAAATCCCCAGCAAATGTGCCAAGGTTACGCCTGCCCATGGCACCACACATGCTTTAAAGAAAAAAAGGAAGAGTAATTAGAGCTGCTCTTCGTGGTCCTTCCCTCCCTCCCTGAGCGAGGAAGCCACGAGCAGCTCAGCTTGTAGTTTTCCAAGTTTGCTGGGCAGGAGGAAAGAAGAGGAATTCACATTCCAGCATGTTCCCTGACAGAAATGTAGGGAACAAGACTCCCAGGATGATCTCAGGCAGAACGGGGATGTGGCGCTTTTATGGGAAACGGCCCACAAAACACAGGGAAGTTGTTGCGCTGGATGGAGCTTTGGTTTTTGCTGGTGTTTGCATGCAAGTCTGTCATGAGGAAGAGCCAGCAAGGATGGCTGCAGGTGGAAGGGGAAGAGTTTGACCGCACGGGTACAGGCGAGGACAGGGCAAGGGGAAGGCAGCAAAGGTAACTGCAAAAAGATGGTGACCTGGATCTACCTTGTGAGAGAAGGGCAGTAACCTGTGAGCTTGGTCGAAGCAAACTTCTAGTTCTTCAAACTGATTTTGGAGCAGGGGGAGGCAGAACTGACATATGCAGAGGCTTACCCTGAATGACCTCAAATGTATGGGGACCAAAAGCCCCAATATATGTAGTTTGGAAGAACATGAAACTCTGATGTCCTTGGGAAGAATCAAAGACTTAGATTAAAATTAAACCTCCCGTGACGGTGGTGAGGACTTGAACAAGCCCAGTCCCAGGATACCACCGGGAACTAGGAAATAATGAGAATCTTGTCAAAATAACTGTTAATCTGTGAGGAGGAGGAGGAGGGAGCGAGAGCCTCGAACCACTCGATTAGAGCCAAGCCACAAATCAACGGGCCTGGATGATACCGAGCTYGGGCTCTTCAGGGAGTTTGCTAATGAACTTACTGAACCGCTGATAATTGTTTTTGAAACGTCGAGGAGAAAGGGGGGAGCAGGAGGACTGGGGAGAAGCGGGCGCCGTCCTGAGGGCGGCTCTGCCAGGGYGCGGGCGGGACGGGCGCCGGGGCCCGCGCGGCGCTGAGGGGAGCAGCGCGACGCCCCCGCGCGCTGGCCCCTAACTCCGCCACACAAGTGAGTTCAGGTAGCGCCATGTGCCACCCTTGCCCTCCGCCAGCACTGCTCGTGTGAGCTGGACGTCACTTTGCCTGTGGTGGAGCCCTCAGTGCCTAGGGCTGCCTCCATGTGAAGAAACATTGTGGCCATTATGCGCCCTCGAAGGGCCTGGGGAGCCCCGGCAGAGCAGGGCCTGGTCYGTGGGGCTGTGGCTGCGGCTGAAGATAAGAAAACCAGTGAGATGATCTCAAGAAACGGGCAATTCTAGACATATAGCAGATACTTAGGTGCGCAGGGGCTTTGGAGATACTCGGGCATCTCCAGCACTGAAGTGCCAGAGGGACACTTAAGATCCGTTAGGAAAGTAGTCCTAGACTGCTATTTCTTTTCAATATTAAGCCAATCACTGTTAATTTCTGGGACCTTAGGGAATGGGAAGCTCAAATGGATTCTAAAACCCAAAGGAAAGTGAGTGGAAAGTAGCACGTTCATTGCTCTTGCTTCATTACAGTGACAATATTTCTTTTCTCCCCTGCCTTCCATCCCATCAGCTGTAGAAACATCATTACCAAGGCTGACGTACAAAGAAAGAAATAATTACAATAATTAGGATGCAAGTTTATTGCTCAGTGCCATTAACAGTGGGAGATGAATTGATTACAGCCTGCCAGAAGCTGACGAGCAAGGAGCCACGCGCTGCAGGACCTCGCTATGGAAGACAACCCATTGTTGGCTCCGAGGGCAGTAGCTGAAGAACAGCCAAACTCGCACGTATCAAACAACGTGCCCAGGTAGGATAATCTTCATCACCTCTAATGTCTTCATGGAAGGAGTGGATAAAATGACCTCTATTTGATGATGTTCTAGAACTTTGCAAATTCATTAGCCAATGGGTTAACGACCAGACTTTCTGCTCCCCTTTCCTTTCAGCTTCATCTCCAGCCTTAGGCACAATTTATTTGCCTGGCTCTCCTTGAAAAGCCTAAATTATGAGCAATAGTATCAGATCACACACAGTGACTGTCTCCCTGCAACACGGTTCCCTGCAGCCCATCCACTGTCCTCTCCAAAGCTCTCCAGCACATGCCGAAAGGCAATCCCGGTAAAGCTGAGGACAGCTGGGCTTGGTGCATGTCTGTCTGCCTCAATTTTGGAGTGCTGCTTTCATCTGAAACCTCTCTGACTAAGATCATCTCTAACCAAGGATGGTGGAGATGACGTTCTCTGGCAGCCGGCCATTGAGCGACCTGATGGACGGAGAGGAGTCACTGACTTTGAGTTGCCCTTTAAGCAGCAAAATTATGGTAGCCTTGCTCCCTGCTCATCAGCTTGACACCTGCAAGCCTGCCAAGCAGCTCTCCCCATCCGTCGTGGAGGTCTAGGGCTCAGCACACGCTCCAGGGCTCTCCGACCAGAGAGCAGCTGCTCCACTTGGTCACCTTCCCTGAAGAGCACCATGGTCCTTCCCCCTGGAAGTATCTTGTAGCAAAAGTCTCCCAATGGGTAGAAATTTGGAAGCAGCCTCTTTTCTGCAGCATTTGAAGGTCATGTCCATGGGAGCCTTTACTCAAGCATCCACAACAGCTAGGAAGTAACACCAAGCACCAAACACTTCCCTATTTTTGCTTACTGTTATTATTACTATTGATAATAAAAATTTCTTGCTTAGTCCTAAAGATCTCACCCATCTTATCTGACAGYGTTAAAGAAGAAGAAAATAAGAAATCTTGTAAAGTCTAGAGTTTTACAAACAATTTGAAATGACTGAATTAGTGCCTTCTTTTGATTCACTGAAACTTAGTGTGTTTGGAGGCCAGAAACAAAGCTCCTCTCCTGCCTCACTTGGGTTTTCTGTGCCACGCCAATAATTTAGTTGGAGTTGTTCCAAAACACATTGTTAAATATGATCAGTTAGATTTACAATGAATCTGCTCAGAAGAAAATTTCCCATGCTTATTAGCGCATGAATTTCATCTTTGTCACAAGATGTCAAGTGGAGTTGGTGAGGACAAAAGTGTGGGTGGATCGGAGTGCAGCAAGTCCTGGGATAGGTAGGACCTTCTGGGCATGCTGGCCATGGCGATTCAATGATGTCCCTGAGCACCTCGCAAGCTTTGGCTTTAAACAGGGCTCTCCTGGGTGGTGGTTTGCAGCGTGGACATGGCATGGGTTCCCCATGGATGGTGGTGGCCCAGACACCCGTGTGTCTCCCGAGGTGTTTACCAATGGCAGCCGGGTGTTGCAAGTTAGAGCTGAGCTGCCGGAGGTGTCATCTTTACCAAGGGATGGATGAATGAGGGTCCAGATTAGTCACGCTCAGTTAGGAGGCTATCATGGCCCTTCTTGGAGCAGGGCTGTTAGCGTGGGTATTCTGGCCACCTTCCAGCTGGACTCTCCCATCCTTTGAGCTTTTCCCTTTGCTGATGACAGCCCCTCAGGCAGGGCCGTTACTTGGTGCTGGAATCAGTGGCGTTTTATTTTGGGGTTGGCCGCACGGCAGTGATGTCCTGCGCACTCTGTGTGGATCGGTTACCCCTTAGTGCTCATATAAGTCCTCCTTGTCATGAAGTGCTATGGAGATTACTGCTGTTAGCCCACTGCTGTCGTCCTTGCCGACTGTCTGCTGTAGTCAYAGCTCCAAGTCCCCTTCCAGATATTCCGGAAGATTTGAGCCTAGCCATCCGTGGGCTTCAGGAGGATCCATGCTCTGCAGCAGCTCTGTTTGGGAGTAGTAGCCCAAGCAAGGTGTGCTCTAACCCCTTCCAATGCCTGGATTTGCCACTAACTTCACAATGAGGAAATGGATCCAGGAGAGGGGCAAAAATCCTCAGCCCGATGCCGTTTTCGTTGTACTCACATCTGTGGCGCATTGAAGATTCCCATTCGGCAGCACCATGTAATAAATCTCGCTGGTTAACAGTCAGAGAAGGAGGAAGAAAATACTTTTCTGGTGCCCACTGGGGAGTTGCTGGTGCTACATTAGCATSTCTGGAATGACTGTTGAGATCATCGAGCCGCTGCTGTTACCCACAGAGCATCTCGGTTGCACACTTGCGTTTGCATGGGATCCAAAGCAGGCCTGATACAGAGTTTTTAATCACACATAGAAACCCATTCTGTATTCTTTTTGCTTGTGGAAGAAGCCTTGAAGGGCATCTAGAATAGGGATGTTTGCCTGTGTGCAAAGAGAGGCTGTCCCAACGCCTTCTTCTGCAGTGCCCATCCATGGTTGGAGGCAGGTGGGCAGCTCTGTTTCCACAAAGGCACTCCAGGGAATATAACAGGCACTTCTGTCCTCCATCCTCTAAATGATCACGCTCCCCAGCTCCTGGCATGGTAAAAAACAGTGCAAACAAGAAGAAAAGCAACGGCGTCAAGATTTTCCCAGCAAATTCGGCACTGGATGACTCCAGCTGAGGGGAGATCAAGAGCACGTAGTTAGTTTTTAAGAAGCTGTTTGTGTTGCTGCTTTTGAACCGTGTTTTTGTGATCCACACTAATGAGCAGAGCGAGGAACCCGGAGATGCACGGATGAAGGTCAGAAGGGATCTCGGCGTTGAGTTAATCTGAGTCTGTGTTTACGCAGGCCGCAGACTTTTCCCCAGGCAGCATCTCTCTTAGAAACGTCTCTAATCTTATCTTAAAAACACCAAGTGTTCCTGACTTCACCCTCTCCCTTGACGGCTCATGGTTTAATTGTCCCTGCTGTCGGAAGCGGCCTCGCTCCGGGATGTGGAACTTGGCTTTGCTGCTCCCATAACCCGCTGCGCCGCTGCCTGCGGGACTGAGGGAGTCCACCTGCTCCCTGCGACCGCATCACCTCTTAGTCACCTCCTTTCTTTGATCAGCTCCTTAAATTTCACACCAACAATGTGATTTGCAACGCTGAGTCCTTCTCGCTGCTCTCCTCCGACCTTCACTTGGTGTTTCCACATGTCAATGCGTGGACCCAAGACTCACTTAGTGCTGCCCTACGCAACAGCAGCGACTCTTCCCACTGTGTTTCATCTCCTGGTTGCTCATAAGATGTGTCCCATCAGTGCTGTCACCTGCACCCCTTATGGCAGCAGGTTTTCTGTTACTGAGATTGGGTGCCAGAGCCCTGGAACAGGCTGCCCAGAGAGGCTGTGGAGTCTCCTTCTCTGGAGATCTTCCAAACCTACCTGGTTGTGATCCTGTGCAAGGTGCTTGTTGGATGACAAGAGCTCCCTTCCAACCTCAACCCTTCTGTGCTGCTGGGACTGCTGGTAAAAATATTAAATAGCACTGAGGAATGAATCAGTGCCGCTCGTGATGGCCTTGCTCAGTGATAGCGTCTCATTAACAATCACATTTTGAGATCTGTCAGTGAAACAGATTTAATCTCTCTAATGTGTGCCTTGTTAATTCCATATAATATCAGCCAAATGCCTTGGAGAAATCACAGTATATTATAGCAACACAGTTGTTTTAGCAGCCAGACATGTTTTACTAAAAGATCCCTTGCAAAACAAAACGAAACAAACAAACGAAAAGGCAACTCCACTCCCCCCAAAACCAGAAGACATCAAGACATCAGGTTTTTTTAACCAGACTCATCTTCCAGGAAGCCACACCGATTGCTGCTCATTATATCAGTATTACCTAGTTATTTGTTGATGGAGGCTCACATTAACTGTACATTTATATTGCAGTAGACCAACGTGAGGCCAAATGAGACCACTTAGCCTGATGTTGATCCTCTGCAAAATTAATTACCACTGTACTAAAATCCTGCCTTTCACCCTTCCAAAATACAGGAGACACCTTGGCAGGGCCCTGAGCTGCCTGAATCCCCCTGAACTGCAASAGTTATTAAAAACCAAGAGCGGATCAAACAGCTCCTCAGCTTTGTCTCTGAAGACTCTTGTGTCTAACCAGTTTGCCTGGTTTGAGAATTTAATTTCTGCTTCTTTTTTTGTGTCTTTCTTTGCTGCAAAAAGTCATTTTTGGTCCTCCCACGGTTTAATACAGAATCAAAACGTCCTGCTTCCTTCCAAATACAGAAGAGAAACATCCACGAAATAGTTCTATATCACTCTTTACTACGTCTTCAGTCTCAGATTTATCACTGATTAAGGCTGCAAATTTGATCCTAACGTGTTTTAAATGACCTTTATCTATTTATTTATCACCCGCTGGCTATTAATGCTACTCTTGTTCCCTCAGCTCCCTTTAGCAGCAGACAGTTTTTATCCTATACCTCCTATTCAGTCATGTTAAAGCCCTCCTCTTCCCTATTTCCATACATACTGCTTTATTTATTTACAGCTTTCATATCTCCTTGAACATTTCCCAGATTCCAAGGACTTTTGAAGTTTTTTTTTTTGGAAAGCAGTTGAGATGCACTGGGTTATTGTTGGGAGGTGGGGGGGCTGCACACCGTTTCTGTAGTATGTGACAAACCGATGCTTAATTAGCAGCTCTTTGCTGCACAAAAAGGCTATTTAAAGACTATTTAAAGTATATTTATTTATCTCTCTGGTACGACTTGCTTCAGCAGCCAAGAGAGGGCGCTCATTAAATTAGAAAAAGGAGAAAAAGCAGAAAACGGGGAAAAGCAGAACAAAAAAAGCAACCATGAGAACTTACTTGAGAAAGAATCTTCTATTCTCCACCAACAGGTCAGACTAAATACACAAACAAAGTGAAGGGGTGTTTTTTGTGGCTGGGGACAGGCACTGGGGGCCTCCAGGGTGACGGGTGTAATTTTGGCACCGACCACTTACTGCTCTGGTCGGCGCTCCCTGYTCCTTCCTAAAGGCCTCCAAGTCCTGCCAGGAGCTGCGACGGATGCCAAGTTTTAGCTTGCTGTCCACCTCGGGAAGTTTGTGAAACCCATTGGGGAAACGAGCCCCAAACAAACACAAGGAGAAGAAAGCAGTAATACTGAACGTCGGCATGTGGTGCTTGTTCGGCACCTTTCTTCTGAGGTTGTTTGTGTGAAAAACCAGACCAGTTCTACACCCCGGCAGGCTCCCATGCAGCAGGCACTCATCGTCCTCTGGTTGGGCCAACGGTGGGAAACAGCAACCATGGAGTTTGCTGGAAGCAGAACCCTGTGCACCTCCCTCCCTCCCTCCCTGCRGCACAAGGAGACAAAGGAGCCACAGCAGGAGCTGTCAGAAACGTGGAGTCCCCGAATCCATATGGAAAACATCCCTACGGCGCAAGCTCCCTTCCCCTGYCCCTCTCTCTACGAGGCAGCACGAGGTCATTTTGTAGCGGAAAAAGAAGCAAAATACGATGGTAATTCCATTTGAATGTTTGTTTTTGTTTTTCTCACCTGCAGAACTGCCTGGAGTGGTTCATGTTGGGACCTGCTTTAATATTGCCTTTCTCTGGGTCATAGATGGTGGTTGCTCGCGCATAAGCTCCTCCGAGAATAAAGATGAACCCATTGAGAGTGACTGCAGGAGCGTATTTGTTATCTGTCAAGGGAAAGCAACACCGAGATCAGTTTTAGGCTCCAGTTTGGAGACCGGTTTTTATTTAYACATTCCCCTTATTTACAGATAAGTCACGTTTCTCTAAACCTCCAAGGCTAGGGGAAGAAAAACGAGGCAAGATTCCTCGTTTCGGCCCGCTCAGGTTCTGAAAGGCACCTGTAAAGGTGGCCAGTCCAAGCCCTCCCCTGGAGCCTGGGAAACCTCCCTCTAGCCTGGGAAACACGGTTATCTTCCCACCAGACCTCCTGGGAAGGTCTGCTCTTACATCCCCCATTAACAGGCTGAGCCATTACAGGATTTTGTATCTCTGAAAATTTTTGCTCAGATCCTTCCCCATCGCAGGACTCAGCACAGGGGACGCCACGGTGCCAAGTGCCTCTCAGTGACATCCCCAAGTAGGTCCTTGTCTTTCCTGTGCCATTTCTGCTGGTGGGAGGATCACCCACACAACATATAGGAAGCACCTGACATCCCCAACTATGTCCCTGCTTCATTTATTACTTAATTTCAGCTGCATTTTTACTTTCCAGTGCAGGAAGACCCTTGAACAGTCCTGCACTCCAGCAGTGAACAGTGTGAGGTCAGGGTTTCTGTTAGGCAAATCCCTTCTCCTCAGTTAAAACCACGCTCAAAAACTGTTGGGCAAGCTGCAGCTTTATTAAAAATATATTTGGTAAGGCTAACCACAAAATCATTGAACAAAATAAGTCCTAATTAAATGAGCTGGCTTATCCTGGATGCTGCCACCTCACCATACCTGCATTTTCACATGATTAAGTGCTAGCTAGTTGGGTTGAAAAGTCTCAGGATGGTGTCTGTGTTAAGGCAGTGCAGTATTTTAATCAGCAATTTAGGAGTCTCGGGGAAGAAAACAAGGGTAAATTCATTGCTTTGCTTTAAAATAACTCTCACAACTAGGGCTCTGAGAACCACCGCTGCTGAAGCACTTCRGAGCGCGACACAGACATTTCCTAGGTGTCTTGGGACACTTCTTTTGCAATTCCTAGAGAAAATAYTCTCCCAAATCAACTATATATATAAGGCTCTCCAAAATAAGTGCTGTTAGGTGCTCAGGAAAAGGCTGGCCTTTTAATTTCCTTAACTGGGCTTTGAGCTGGTTTAACTAGGAGCAGAATTTTTTGGTTTTGGGCTTCTGATTGGCAGGGCGCTGGTGTGGGCYGAGGGCTGGGTCTAGGGGACACGTGGGGCAGCAAAAGAGGCAAAAAATGTCATGGGTTAAAGCTGGGCTCCTGTTAGGCTGAATATCTCCAGGCATATGTCAGAAAACATGGATGTATTAGGAAAATGTCATTGATCCTTGGGAACAGATGGGAAGAAACTAATTCATCCAGAAAATAGAACAAGGCGTATTCAGTTTCTTCTCAGTGCCACTAAGCCACTATAATTCATCAGAAGGACTTATCTGTCCTAACAACCCGGCTCACATCCCTTTCCAAATCAGACTTGCATATGTGACATTTTTTTCCAGTTAAAGAACACATCAGGAGTTTTCCATATTTAATTATCATGCTTTCCTGGGTTTCTTTTTTTTTTTTTTTTCCCCCCCCTTTGACTGACATTATATTACAAGAGAAAGAAACTCTCCCATAGAAAAGAGCTCAGAATTCAACTCCCAAATCTCACAGGGAAATTATATGGGGCTCCCTCAAGGCAGAGAGCAGCTTCTCAGGAGACTGAATCACTGATTTAACGTTCCTTTTTGTCAAAGGAGGAGAGGGAAACCCCTTGGTTATTTTTATAGTGACATTTTTTCCCTTCTTTTCGAGTAAGCCAGCAGTCTGATTTTCTTTCTTTTTATTTTCTAAGAGGCAATCGTGTTGGAGTCTCATCAATTTTTCAATACATCACCTATCTGTTGTCTTTTGACTGCTTTTGGCTTTAGCTACAATTTCATAAATTGATATAAAGCAGGTCTGAGATAGCCAAACAGGGAAACCTCTGCTGCTTCTTTCAGGAAGGGAGAAGTTTGCAGCAAACAGTCTCCTGATCCTGATGAAGATAGGACAGAGAGGCATGAGGGAGACCCCTCCAGAGACAGGTAGAGAGAAAAGATGATTTTTTTTTGCTTTGTTACTATGAAGGCAGAAATTATTCACTGACACTGGTGAGTTTGGAAAATCCAAGCTGGCTTTCTTGCTGCCTAAGCATGGATGGCCATGGTCAACCTTCAATCTTACCTCTCCAAGCCCTTCCCTGCTATTGTCCTCTCCAAGGCTCGGCAGCCTCATGAAGACACAAAGGAGACACCAMAGTCTGTCACTGCTGAAAGGCTTTGATATCTTAGTAGTGCAGGATGGGTTGGAAGGCCTAATTCTGCAAAATCATGTGCTGGTTGGGCATTCTGGTCAACACCGTTGGGCATGCATGCGAGCTCCTGCAGGTCAGAGGATGACCWCTTCTTCCCCAGAAGGAAATCCAAGTCTGGAGGTTGTCACCTACTGAAATCCAGTTCAGGTTGGAAAAGATTAGGTGAGATTTGTCCAGGATTGCAAGTGCACATGAGATGAAAAGGCAGAGTAAATGTAAAGGAGATAATAGGTAAAAGCACTCTTCTCTCCATGTGGATAACATCATGACATCACTGTATTTTCCTCTTGGCAAAGGAAAATACACAAGTATTTCTGTTCTTCTGGCTTGAGCTGGAGCTGCACTTCATGTGCCGCTGGTAACTTAGCTGACCAGTGTGCTCCTAATTTAGCAACAGCCACATTGCCTGTGATGCGTTTTGTGACTCTTACATTACACAGGCAGTTCTGTCTGCATGTGAGGAAGAGCTCCTTCACTGTGAGGGTGACAGAGCCCTGGAACAGGCTGTCCAGTGAGSKTGTGGAGTCTCCTTCTCTGTGGGTCTTCCAAACCCGCTTGGATGCCACCCTGTGCTCTGGGTTACCCTGCTGGAGCAGGGGGGTTGGACCAGATGATCTCTAGGGGTCCCTTCCAACCTCAACCATTCTGTGATTCTGTGTGTATGATACAGCCAAGCCTCAGCATTCTGCTCTCCCTCTCATGATTACTCAAAGATCTTACGTCACCTCCTGGTACAGCATTCAGTTGGAGGCTGAAGTGACATTAAAGTGAACGGTGGCAGCACTTCATTTTGGAAAACGGTTATTAAAAACAAAAGCAGTTGGAAGATCTTTATCAGGGACACGCCGGCAGTCAAGCCCAACTTGAGGCCCTCCAGCAGGCTGGGGGCAGACAGATGCATGTGATGGAACAGGCTGGCGAAAGAAGACTAGTCAGTAGAAACTAATTTGCTTTTAATAGTAAGTGCCTCTTCTTCTCTTGGAATAACACACAGAGCAGCTCAAGGCCGGGATAGCAGCGGGTAGGATGACATTCCTGGGTAGCGCGGCCTCCCTGGGCCTCCATGTATTCTGGGCCGCGGGGCCCTAGGCCCTTGGTGCGGCCCAGCAGCCGCTCCTGCAGTCACCGGCGGCTGGCAGGTGTGGGCCGTGAGGGCCGGGCGCTGCCCTCAACACGGGGCGAGCAACACATGGGGGCCCAGCCCACAGGAACGGCCCTGCAGCAGGGCAGGGCATGTTTCATAGAATCACAGAGTCCTTAAGGTTGGAAGGGACCTCCAGAGCTCATCTAGTTCAACCTCCTGCACACGCATGGTCACCCAGAGCACGTGGCACAGGGCTGTGTCCAAGCGGGTTTGGAAGATCTCCAGAGAAGGAGACTCCACAACCTCTCTGGGCAGCCTGTTCCAGGGCTCTGTCACCCTCACAGGAAAGAAATTTTTCCCTTAAGTTCCTGTGGAACTTTTGGTGCTTCAGTTTGTGGCCATTTCTTCCTCGCTGTACACCGCTGAAAAGAGGCCGCCCCATCCTCCTCACTCCTTCCCTTGAGGTATTTATAGACACTGATCAGGTCCCCCCTCAGCCTTTTCCAGGTTGAACAGCTCCAGCTCTCTCAGCCTTTCCTCATAGGACATTTGGGCACATTTGGGCCTCGGCAAGGCCCACTCCACAGCAGGAGCACCACGGCATGGGCCACAGAGAGCTCGGCAAGAGGAGGCAGCCGGGCCACAACGGACCAGTTGGAAGGTGAAACACTAGGTTGGGCGAACACAGAACTCCCTCTCATGCTGGCAGGGCTCTCCCAACTGCCCGACTGGTCACGATGATCAGTAATTCCCCCAATGACTCTTGAATGAACCGTCTTGAGAGGCTCAGAAGTCCACTGCTTTCAGCTGAAAACGCTGCATTTTGTTTTGCTGCAAAATTGAGTTGAACACCAAAAAAATCCTGAGAACTATGGAAAAACATATTGATGAAAGAGAGGAATGCTTGCAGCTTTAATACTTCTAAGGGACAGCTGGCTAAATGCATGGCACTGGTGCAGAGCTATCTGTCTTGCAGAGATGGACAAGCCAAGATGTACATCTGACTTCTGTAAAGTCCAAAAATAAATTTATGGGAACAATTATGCCTTTTAAATATATAAGGCACATAACAGTGCAGGAGGAGCACACAGACTCTGCAAAAATTATTTTCCAGGTATTTCTTACATGCACCTCCTGCTAAGGTTGGGCACATCACTAAGCAGTTTGCCCTTTAAGATGTTCATATGAAATGACATAAACCTCTTCTATAGCAGACCTCGGGACTGAAGTCTGGCTCAGCCTGCACTGTCTTGTCGAGTTTTTAAAACCACTGAAAACGATCCTGGAGGGCAAGGATGCCATGCACAAGATGCCTCTCTTAGGCAGCTCATCTGCTCTTTTTGAGGCCCAAATGTGCCTGCCATCACCTTATTTAACACTCGGAGCCCTCCTGAGAAAGGGACAGGGAGGGAGAAGCAAAGCTTATCCTATGCCTGTACTCTTTTGGGGCCATCAGTAGCCTCCCCTGACAGCCCTAACCAGGCAGCCCTAACCCATCATACTGGGTTGTCTTYCACCAACTTTTTGTGCTTTCAGGAGCACAAAAGAGGCATGAACCCTAGTCCAAAGGCTGGCCATGCCTCTGTTCCCCATCCATCTCGTAGATGCCTGTCTGCCCTCTTTCTTCTTCCTTGTTGGAAGGATTCAGTCCATATGGCAGCAAAGGGCCACAAAGCAGATGCAAATGTCCACTGGACTTGTGCTCTAAGGGAATTCTTACATGTCTGTCCTGGTGATCTTGCAAGGACTGAGCTGATACCTACAGCAAACTCCACAGTTCCCTCTATGGCTAAATGGCATGGTAGGGAGTAAAGTTTTTGTCTTAGAAATGCTCATAGGTCTTTGACCCCCTTGACCCTAGTTCTCACCAGATTTTAGAATTTAGTAATAGTGATGAATAAATGTAATTTGTTCTTCTTACAAGCCACAGAGATGAATAATCATATCTTGTTCTTCTTGCAAACCAGGCACGCTAATCAAAACTTGTAATTCCGCCAGTGCAGACATTGGCTGTTCCAAGTAGCAAAAAATAAACCCGTTTATTTTAGTGGCCTGGCATGGAGGCACAGAGTGAACTAAAGCACAGTGACAAGATAATTAGGCTTACGGGCACTGACTTCAGCTTGTCTATGGCCATCTTGTTAAATAAGACAAACCTTAGGAGGCTGGAAACAGACTACATTTTTAGCAGAGCTATATAGGACAACTAACAAGAAGCAGGGCAGCAGCACTGCAGGTGTGTGGGCTAGGTTCATTTGCTGTGGTAGGACCAGAGCAACACATTTCCTACAGCTAGGAACACAGGAAGGGGACATGGGTTTCCCAGCCTTGTGCAGTATGAAGGTCCTGGGAGGCTTCATTACCTCCCTAATATCAAGCTGTGGGCTTGGCTGCTGCAAGAGCATCTGCCAGCTCCAAAAACAGGGTACAGAGAAGATGGGGAAGTGAGGAAAAAAACCAACTCCCCTCCAAACATGTGTTTGCCATCAAGCTCTGCTCCTGCACAAAGGCTACTACAGCATCCTTATGCAGCGTGTCRGGGACCCTAGTTTCATGCCTACTGCACAGGAATGCACATCCAACACCTTATGGCAGGTGGTGGCTAAAGGATAAATAGAGCCTGGGGCTGAAGTTGCTGTTTATTCTTGAAGGAAATCCAAGCAGAGCAGAGGCCGGGGTCCCTGCAAGCGCTGCTGGTCCCTACCTTGTCTCCGTTCTGCATGGGCAGGAGTGCAGCCCCCAGATGGTTTCAGCAGGGCTCTGGTTGGCCTAAAAATGTCCCTTCCTTTTCCCATGGTGGATGCCAGTGCTTGCTGGGCTGAGGCTGGTGCTTAGGAGCACATGGGCGCCAGGATACAGGCAACTCAGTACCTGAAGGGTGAAGGTAGGGAGGAAGGGGCCAAGCTCTTCTCAGTGGCCAGTGACAGGACAAGGGGCAATGGATACAAGTTGAAACACAGGACATTTCATCTCCATGTGAAGAGGAACTTCTTTCCTGTGAGGGTGACAGAGTCCTCGAACAGGCTGCCCAGGAAGGTTGTGGAGTCTCCTTCTCTGGAGATCTTCCAAACCCACCCTGTGCCCCGTGCTCTGGGTGTCCCTGCTGGAGCAGGGGGGTTGGACTAGATGATCTCTAGAGGTCCCTTCCAACCCCAACCATTCTGTGATTCTGTAACTCACCAACAACTGTCAAACACCGCAGGCACTCGAAGCGGCTACCACTGCTCTAAAACCCTCCAGACGCCTTGGACTCTTTCCATACCTGCATCTACTGCTGAGTGTTTGAGCATGCTCGAGGTGTTTTTAAATAATCCATTATCCTTTTGGAGGTAAACAGGTTTCATTGATCTCTGGAGTGACCTTAAACAACAGAACTCGCTGTCAGATGTCTCAGTTTACTTAGCTCAGAGGGACAGCTGAAGAATTCACAAATACTCACAAAAAATGCCTTAAGGCTGTCAAAAGCACCCCAGGAATGATCATATCAGAGTTCAGCTCATCTCCATTTTAGAAAAAGCCCTCCAAGACTCCCTCCTACTCCCTCTTTGTTTTAAATGAAGCTTGACTCTACTRCACTCGGAATATCATTCCGTTCTTGGGACATATCTTAGAAATACAGATGATACTGGGATTTCTTCTAGAGCTGCAGAAATAAAAGTACGTTGCCAGTATTCCCACAGCCTTTTAGTGAAGATCAAGGATCACATCACTTCAGTCTCCCAGACATTCTCTGCTGGGGGGCAGTTCTTCAGGCTTTGTGTTATTCTGCTTTATTTGCGAACAAAGTGGCGTTATTTATTTCCTAACAAATCCACCCGAGAACTCAGTGTTTCACCATACATTTTATGCCTTCAGCTTAACTAATTAACTTTGTTTATACCCAAACCCCTACCAATGCTATCTTTTAACTCCACCAGTTGCCTTTCATGTAATTTTGTTAGGAAACGGTACAAGTCTATTTGAGCAAGGGATGATGAACCCATCTCTGGATAGTTAGGATGATTTTTCAAGGCACGTGTGGTGTTGATGCCTGCTAGACAGTATAATAAGCCCAGGGAATGAATTCTTAGCTCCTGTGGCACTTGCACTAGCTCGGTGAGGGAAAGGAGAGCCTCTTTGCATAATGCATTCATTTTTTTTTCCTGCAATATGCTCTGCGTACAGGAAAACCTCACACTGTCAGTCAGCGGATTAAATGAACAGCAGCAGCTGGAGCCCATGTGATGGAAAAAGCCGGGAAATAGGTTTGTTTGCCCTGCTGTATTACATAAACATGACTTTTTCTGGTTAACGCCCTCCCGCTGGGCGCTTCATGCTGCATCATATGCATGTCATGTTATGTTAGGCTGGACACAAATGGCAGCCGGGCTTAGGGAAGCAGCAACGCAGCGCTCGCAGGGGAAGCCGGGGCCGTGCAGGCGTCCTCGGCACCGTTTCCAACCCCAAGAAGGGCTGCAGAATAATTGCAACAAGCTGAAATAAAAGGACAGCTTATTTTGGTCCCTAGGATAGGCTCTCACCTGGAAACCACATCGCTGTTGTTCTGTGGTTTGTGTCGTGCTCATTGTACTCGCCCTACCAGGATGAACACTGCGACTATACCATTTTTAAACAAGTGACTTCAGACCTTGTGCTTCTCCACCCGCGTGCACTGAGCATGGGGCCAGCAGTGACTTTGTGAGGCTGAACTTCTTGCCCCACTTCCCAAATGGCCTAAATGTCCYGGGGATCAAGAGAGCAGCTACGTCACAGCCGGCTCTGCACTACAGTAAAGTCTGAACGAGTCTGCGCCTCCTCAGTTGCTGCTGCTTTGGAAATCTTGCGCTCCTGGCTTGCTCTTTATTCTGTGAAATGCAAAGGGAGCCCTGGGGCATCATAAACATGACTAATAAAGGCGGTTTTAATAATCCACCTGTCTCGGGGATTGCAAGCTGCGACGCGCGCGTGACTTTGAACGCCACTGATAAATCCTAGTTGCGAGYGACCTCCCCATCCTCCAGGACAGGCGGCGCTTTAACAAACACACGGCTAATAACCCATTAAGTGAGTGGGGTTCTTTTAAGCACGAAGCAACACATGATGTTAGGACCAAGTTTCACTGCACTTTGTGGCTTTTTGGATCTAAAATTACCAGTTGTCCATGTCTAATAACTGCTTTCTTTTCTCCTCTGCTTTGAACTCCTCACTTGTAGCTGATAACTAGCTGTATTAATGAGTGACAACTGCCTTCACTAGCAAATCCAGATAATTGCCTCTCTGGTTTAATATACCCTGCATTCCTGCCAAACCGCCACCAATGACTCCCCCTCACCAACTCATCCGCTTTCCACAGAGGCCCTAAAATACGCGGAGCTCCGGGATCTCCGTCACGGCTACCCCTTACCGATCCCGTTACGGATCCCGCCATCCCCTTACCGATCATGGGTGACTCTATGAAACTCCAGGCATCGGTCTGAGGGACGTAGGACTGGAGGACGCCCGCGGCTCGKCCGGCTTCGTTGACGCCGCCGAAGACGTAGATCTTGCCGCCGCAGACGGTGGCGGCGGCCGAGTGCACGGCCTTGGGCAGAGGAGCGATGGTCTCCCACTGGTTCGTTATCGTGTCGTACCTGCGGCGGCAGCGACCACAGTGAGCTGGGCTGTGGGGAATCAGCGGGTGGGGATGGTGGGGGGAATGGTGGGGATGTGGCGATGTTGGGGGTAATGGGGTTTGGGATCCTGCCCTGCATCAAGGGGAGTGTTGCCAACAGGTTGAGGGAGGGGATCCTGCCCCTCTACTCAGCCCTGGTGAGGCCGCACCTGGAGTATTGGGTGCAGTTCTGGGCTTCCAGTATAAGAGGGACGTGGAGCTTCTAGAGAGGRTCCAGTGGAGGGCAATAAAAAATGATTAAGGGAYTGGAGCATCTCTCGTGTGAGGAGAGACTGAGTGAGTTGCGCCTGTTTAGCCTGGAGAAGAGAAGGCTGAGAGGGGATCTGGTTAATGTGAATAAGTACATGGAGGGGGAATGTAGGGAGGAAGGGGCCAAGCTCTTCTCAGTGGTGGTCAGTGACAGGACAAGGGGCAAAGGGTGTAAGTTGAAAYCCAGGCAGTTCCATCTCCATGTGAGGAGGAACTTCTTTCCTGAGAGGGTGCCAGAGCCCTGGCACAGGCTGCCCAGGGAGGTTGAAGTCTCCTTCTCTGGAGATCTTCCAAACCCGCCTGGATGCCACCCTGTGCCCCGTGCTCTGGGTGTCCCTGCTGGAGCAGGAAGGTTGGACTAGATGATCTCTAGAGGTCCCTTCCAACCTCGACCATTCTGGGATTCTGTGGGTGTGGGACAGGGAGGCAGGCAGCGACGGGCTGCCGCGTGACAGGGAGGCTGTTTGACAGGTGGAAAGAGAGCAGAGGTGGAAACGTTATCTCCTGCCATCACACAAATGCAACCACTTGGTAAACACTGTAATTAATGCCTTTTCTGAGCCTTTAAAGCATCAGGAAAAGCCCAGAGAAAGCTAGACCCATTCTCCACGTATGCCTCTCAAATCCCATTATAGCCCAAGCTAAAGAAACGCAGGACATCTTTGTTGAGATGTCTTCCACTAATTAATTTCTATTAATGAGTATACAATGAGGTTATTCTTGCGAATCAGTGCAGCGATATCCAATAGCAACCGCAGGCAGGGGCTCGGAAGGCACTTGAGCTGCTCGGCTGGTGGGACACGTCTCACCTGCCTCCTCACRCAGCCCCATCGCTCTTTTTACTCCCCTTAACCCACCAGCAATGCACATTTTGCGCTAGAGTAAGTTGCTTCCGTGCAATYTCCTTTGTGCAAAGCAAACTCCTGCACTCCACTGGCAACTGCTGCAAGCGCCAGTGCTGGAGGAAGGTTTCACCATCGCATCCCGATTTGACATGAAGCAAATAGAAAAGAGTATGCATTAAACTGCTAAATTAGTTTTAAGGTCATCAGTATCTGATTTAATTAAGCCATTGACCATAAGGGATGTGCAGTTAATAATCCATGGATGAAGATTCATTTTAGACAATGTCACAAGTACAGATGTCTTTTTTTTTTTTTTTTAAAAAAAAAAAGATAATGTGGCAGGGACCCAAATAGCTGCTCTGAAATGAGTCTTGGAGACAGTGGAAAGGGATATGAATTTTAGGCCTCAATATTTCCATGTAATGACATAGTCAGTCAAATAAGAGCTTCCTGGGTAGCGATTATTCAGGATTGTTGACTGCGAGAAGAGAAGCCCTCATCATCCGTTCAGGGCTTTGGCGCTTGATATTAGTGATGTGCAATATGCAAACATGAAATGAATCCGTGTCCACGGCTCCATCTGTAGGAAGTGATTTAGTGACAGGGGAGCCTCCTTCGGCAACGTCTCTCGAATTCCCACTGCCCAGACTTGAGGAAAATCAACGGGATAAAAGATGTAAATGGTGGAGGTGGCATAAAATAAAATGCTTCATGAAAACTGCATTAATAACTTTTCAAGTGATGTAACTGTAAATAATTAATACTTATATTCAACTATTAATATAAATAAAATAAATAATATAAATAAAGGAGAAGTATGAGGGAGGGGAATTTTAACTAACAAAATGAGCAGAAGTCCCTTAAAATGAGCACAGAGAACAGCTATTTACAACGTTCTAAATTAGCTACTGAGCAATTAAATTCCCCTACAACAAAGCGATCAAAGAGGTGAAACAGAACAAGGTTAAACAATATGGAACATACCAAGGGGCCCACCTGTGTTGGGCTGATTTTTGACACCGAAAAGATGCCTGCAGATTCGTGTTTGACTACATAAAGAGCTCTTAAATGTAAGGCACCATATGCTGGATCTCTTGTATTTGCCTACAACACTCATGGAACTCCCATCCTAGCAGATATGCAAAAATGTCACATAATATCAACAGCTTCATACACTGCTGTCGGGTTAYGCTTTGCTAATACACCTATTTATTTCATCTGTTTCGGGTTTGGTAACTTGTTAATAGCTATTATTACTAAAATGGAAAAACGGCTAAGAAATAGGTTATAATTCATGCAAAATTAGTGAAAGAAACAGAGATTTGAGGAAGATACTGATGTAGTAATTCCTCAGCTGCCGGGATATTACAGTAGTTGCCTTGCTGGTCTTTCTAATGTGTGTTCAGGGGAAGGAAAGGTTATAGCTTCCAGCTCTGTTATGGGTTGGGTGAGGACAATGTTGTCCAGGAATGCTGGAGAAAGCCTCAAATGATAAATAGTGCCTTTTCTGGATGAATTTCATGGTGGGGATCCCAGGTCCTCTGTACCCAGTTTTTCTCCCACCTTCACTGCTCTGTTTATGTTCTTGCAATGACAGAAGTGGCCTTTTTGCCTCCTGCTTTTCTGTGCCTGCTATGGGGAACCAAAACCAGCCAGTTTCACCTTATCCACTGAGAGCCAAATGCTGCAGTTCTACAAGGATACAGGTGCAGAGGAGCAGCTTAAGGCAAGTGTTCTTGTCTTGAGCATCCTTTGGTTTCTAAACACCTTCTCTGAGCCATTCAGCAGATGGGAACCAATCCTTGTCCATCTAACACAGGCAACTATCTTGGATTTTGGATAGGTCCAGTAAAGCAATCCKCTTAACCAAGTGTCTCACTTCTCTTTGGGGTTCAAGATAAGACATAGGTACCTTTAAGGCCTCCTGATACCTAATTTCTCTYCATCCCTCAAGTCCTTCAATCTGCTTGGATTTGTTCCTCTGGTTCATTACCTCCTTGTAAAACTGTAGAGCTGATTTCTCATCTCATTTTTGTTTAGCCTCAGCTCCCACCCACTGGATAGCAATTTTATTTTTCCTGTTAGATTATAAAGTTGTCTGCTATCAAATCTCTCTCCTCCACATACAGACTTGCAGAAAATAATAAAGTCTCCTCTTAACCTTCTATGGGATAAACTAAGTAGTCTAAGCTTCTTAAGTCTCCCACTGCAAGGCAGGTTTCCATCATTTTGGTTTATCTCAAGTCAGCTCTTAATGTGTTCACACAGGGATTTGCACCAGATTAACTAAATTGGTTCAAAAATGAATGAAGCTGAGTCTTTCTAACCTTCCGGGGTAGGAAATAATGACAACTGCTTCACCTCTCCACCCTCTGGCCTTTCCATTTGTCACGTTGGGGCTGGTGATGCCTTGGCCCCACCGCCCCCAGCGCGAGGAGGATCTTCTRCCACCGTCAACACCCAGCTCTACCCTAGGGCCAGCATGGAGGGAACCGATGTGAAAAACTAATCGTGTTGATCTCTTCCCATTAGTCAAGCTKTGAATTTGATTGTCCTGTTTGAAGCCGTAGACGGAGACTTAATGGGAACTGGCTTCAATCCAAGCAAAGGGTTTTTCTTCCTTCTCCTCCATGGCTCCCTCCAGCCCTGCTGCTGTGTCCACCATGAGGGCTTTTGCTTGCTGGGCCTCAAGGACGGGTCCCTTGGATGTGACGGGCCGGCTCTGCAGTCCTGGCAYGTGATGGGCTGGAGCCCATGTTCACGGAATGCCCCTGCCTTGCTCTGAGATGAGTCCCTGCAGCCCTTCAAGGCTCCCCACTTTCATCACGTGTGGGACACGGGTGTCCCACTGTCACTGCACGAGGCCATGGGCTCTCACCCGTCCCCACAGGTGCTATTTAGACACTGAAGAGCCAGCAAGCTCCAAAAATCCAGCCTGAGGTGGAGAGCGCACTCMAAAACACCCTTTCCAAAGGCTTACACCTACAGGCATGATCCTGTTCTTTATGTTCATGTTGTTCACCGCCCACTTTCTCATTCTTTTGCTACAACCCCGATAGCTACAGCAGAAAAACCTTTCACCTCCTGCTGTGTCATTTGCTTCTCTGCCTTGTTCACTTCTGATCTCTCTAAATACCTGAAAACGCTGCTTCTGCCCCCAGTGCAGCCTCTTAATTTCTCCCCTTCCACATTAGGCTTCTCCCCTTCCACATTAGGCAGCCTCGTGAGTATCTTCATTTATTCACACTTATAAAATCCTTGAATCGTGGTCAGTATCTTAGAGCCAACCACTCTCCGGTTTCTTATATATTATTTAATCCTGTTTGCAGGAAATCTACTATTTAAAATAAAGCTGTATGGAGTCACATTGATCTGCTCTGCAGATGATTCACATGATGTTTAAAATCATATTACGGATTACTGGGTTTTGCCTTTTTTTATTTTCTTCTGACTCTTCTGAGGAGCTTAATAAACTATTCTTGGACAAGGCTATATATTTAATTTTCTTAAGCCATCAATAAAACAGTGGGTTCTGAAGCAGTTTATAAAGCTTATAAAGCTTACTTTTACATTTCATTTTTTTCCTGAGTGCCTTCCCAGCGCCCGCTGCCAGCTGAAATAATCTCCCCATTTTAAGACAACCCTATTGCAGAAGTGCTGTCAGGTCAAGGGGATCCATCTCCCTCCATCCTTCAGCCAGAGAATAACCACAAAGCGCCCACATTTCCCCACTTTTAGGCACACAGATTAGCTTGCCAGCCTCGGCAGTCTCTCAAATTGCATATATTACGAGGCCCATCCATTATCTAAAACCCTAGTTCCTTGATCCACTCCATTTCCCRCCTCCCCGCTCCGCTCCTATCTCAGGGGGAGCCGGGAAGTGCAATAGGCTCTCGCCTCATACCTAATGACTCGCTTCTTGTCACACAGCAGCTCGCCAGAGGGGCTTGATCSAGAGCTGCCGCCGCTCTGTTATTTCCCTAAATATTCACTCCCCAAAACATAACTCTYCTCAGATGCAGACCCGTGTATACGCACGAGAATGGATTTATAATTCAGCCCGCCTGGCACTCCACCTTGCTCTAACCTGAGGAACGAATGACTCCTACCTGTCTGTTTGTTACAGGCCCCTAATGTTCGCTGTCAAAATAAGAGTTTTACTGTCTCTCTGTCACCAAATGGCAGATGAAGGGTAAAAAAAATCTGAATTCCACTGAAGCTGATGGGAAAACACCCATTGATTTAGGTGGGGTTCTTGTGGAGGCAGCGCCCTTGAGCAGCAATGACACAACTGAAAGCCCAAACGATGGAGCAYGGAGCTAATCCCATAAATTATTAGGAATCCAGCGGTTCCTATTTGCTTTAATGCTTTCTAATAGTGCAGTAGATGTATTAGGTGCAGTSAGGTAATGGCAGGTAGAGTTAAGACAGCCTGACATTATCTGTTTAGTGAAAAGCCACAACAAAAACATCCTGGTCAAGTTTTCACCATTTAGGATGAAATATTCAAAAAACTGCAGCAAAAACAAGTGGGGAATAAGACAAAAAATGGGAGAAAAAGTCATTTTCTGTGTCTTCAAAGATTTGCTTTGGTGAGAGACTGCAGCCTTTGTGCTCTGGGTCTGCACATTGGTGGGGAGTGAGATACTGCCTCATCCCAAACTACTGCCCAGTATAAAGTATAAAGCAAAGTATAAAAGCAAAAGTATAAATACTTATGCTAGTATAAATACTATACTAAATACAATACTATACTAAAAAGTATAAATACTATCCTTTCAAAGTGCAAATTTGCAGAAAGTTATCYTTCTCTCACCTGCATTTCTAAGAGCATTGTCCTGCAACACCCTTCCCAAAGCATGTGCAGCTTGCACTGACATGTTTTACTTCTGCAATTCCCCACTGTCATCTTAATAGGGGGAACAGACAAGAAAACATCCCCAAAAACCTCTCTCGCTTCATGGCATGACCCAAAGGAGGCCACGTTGCRCTTTCTTCCATTGCTGCCTCTCACGAGCCACTTTGGAGACCTGAGGAGATGAATTATGACCATGGCTTTAATAAATTCCCACAGCGAGATGTCCTTATTGTGGCAGAGAGAGCGTGTGTTGGCGTGAAGGGTAAGAAGTCTAACAGCCACCCTCAAAAAAGTCTCTTGGTGGGCTTGATAAAACGCGAGTTAGTGGCTGCGCTCGCCAGCTCGAGCAGCTCAACGGGGCTTTGGGTGCTTGCGGGAAGAGAGAAGGTGAGAACGGGAGCAGAGGAAGAAATGAGGACTCCGAGGAAACACAAAAAGAAATCATTTCATCAAAACAAGTAAATAAATGCATACTATCTATTAAGTCACCTGTCTGTGAGCCAAGTTATTTAGCTTTTCGTCAAGGGGCAGAATTAAATCTCTTTCTTCCACCCACTTCCCACTTCCATAGAAAATGCTTTCTGACTTAAATTAGAGGGGAAGTGCCTTTAGAAATTAGAAAAAAAATTAACAAGTCCACTAAATGGTCCACTAAACTCACCATAAGAAAAAAATCCCCACATTTTCATCTGCCAGATTGACTAAAAGGAAAAAAAATTACAAAAATGTATCACTAATCTATTGTCACAATACTTCTACAAGTGTTTGGGTAAGGTTAGGATTGTATTTATTTTTTCAGAAGGGAATATTTTTTATATTCCATTTCCAAGTGGTTTCTGTTTTTTTAAATGAAAACATTGCTAAGCATATAAAATATTATAGCCTTCACTGAATGTTATGGTTGACATAAAATGAGTTGGTTTTGGAATTCTTTTTCGTGAAATGTTTCTTTTGTGTTTTTGTTCTTTCCTTAAGTTAAATTTGAGAATGGCCTTTTTTTTTTTCGATATTTTGAGCTTCTTTTTGAAATGAAAAATTTCCATTCTCCCCCGTCTCTATTCAGGCCCTCTCAGCCTGGAATTCAGAACTGTTTCCATGTCTCGGTGGCTTTTCTGTGAGCTTGGCAGGTCCCAGCACCAGGAGGACGGAGCTGCCTTGCAGCCAGGCGCTTCACCGAGCGAGCACATGGCAGAAACCTGCTTTGCTGCTGCTCTTCTTGGTTAAAAAAGAAAGAAAAACAACAGCAACAACAAAATCAGCACAAATTTGTGGCTGGTGAAGCTTTTAATCAGTTTTGTTTATCGGTTGTGTGATGGATCCGAAGAAGCTGAATTCCTTTCCTCCCTCTCCTGAGCAAACCACCGTGCAAACTGGCAGCTATCTGCTTCGGTTTTGAAACAACCGTTTCCACTGACGCCCTCAAAGAAATCRAATCCTGCATATTTTCCTTCCCTTGTGGTTTTAAGAGCCGATTCTAACAGCCGCACCACGTTGGAGTTGCCATTTAAAAGCAGAGGTGGTCTTTAACGCGGCGGGAAGTCAAAGCCCCAGCCAGGGGATAGATTTGGCCGTTACCTTTCCACGTGGTCGACGTTGCCGGCCACGCCGACGCCGCCGATGGTGTAGATCTTCCCGTCGTACACCAGGCTGTTGTGTCGACACCTGGGCACTGTCATGCGGGACACGAGGTTCCAGTTGTCGAGCAGGGACATGTAGCACCAGACGTCGGCGAGCGTCACCCCCGACTCCATGCCCCCTGGCGCAGAGCGGGGATGGAAAARGGAAGAAGGAGGTGAGGTCTGGGAAGCAGAGTAGCTCTGCGCGGGGCAAGCACAGCCAGCTACAGAGCAAAAACTCTCCCAATGACACTTGACTAATTAAAATAAATCACCCTCAACACGGAGCATCTGTTCCGATGATGCATAAACTGTGTCATTTATTCATGCCTCCCAAAGGCCTTTTTTTTTTTTTTTTTTTCAAATGAGCTAACACAAGGAAATCAAGATGTCAGACTAAGAGGGACATGTACAGGAGGGGACAGACCCTTTCCAACGCTCATAAATAACCTCCAGTCTATTAAATTACCGCAGCACGTGCTAGAAGACAGAGCCCATCTTGGCTTGCGAGATGCAGTCCAGGCTGAATCTCGAAAGCTCAATGCAGTGATGGATTGGAACAGCACATACATGGGTAGAATAAAGCAAGTGCTTGCACTGCAGCTTTAGCTCCTAATTTGCAGGGCTGAATTCCTTATGTCTTTTGATTTGCTGATAAAAGGAAGAAGCGGCTGAACAGCTCCTGGAAAAGCATTTAAGATGCTCAAGTAAAACATTTACACTGGGCATTTTTGTGCATCTCACTGAAGCCTCCAGCATAGCTGCTTGGTGGGTGTCTTATAGTCCTCATTTTGGAGCCCCAAAAAGTGGAGTGATTTATCTGAGACCACACTAGGAGTCAGTGGTTGAGCCAAGAAGAGAAACCAGAGTCTCAGTTTTGTGTTTTAATGACAAAACCAGGCTTTCTCTTTGGAATTTTGCAGTYGTCTCAGTTCATTCCTACTTTTGTTCATCCTCCATCTGTTCATTTGTTTGTTTCTTTTTTTTTTTTTCTGTGTCACGTAAATTTAAGCAAAGTAAAAGATCTACTGATACTCTGGCAGGCTTCCAGTGAAGCCTGCAGACCTCCAACTCCCGTGTTCTAGCAGCCAGCACCAAGGCTTGCTCATCCAGAATCAGGTAAAGAGCTGAAATAAGTTTTGCACTTGTGAATCCCTTGGATTTTGCTAGCAGGTAAGGCAGAGTCCAGAATGACTTTTTATACTGGGGAGGGCCTTGGCTAAGAATAACTAAAGTCAGCATCTCACCCAAGCCCTGTGGAAGACCTTTGCTCCAGGAGAAAAACGATGATGGGCAAAACCACCACAAAATAATTTTGAAGTGATCCTTAGGGCCTGTACGCTGTGTTGGTGGGATTTACCATAGGATGTATTCCCTGGCCACATTCTCGTCCAGACATGTCTGCCTGGCCCATGCTGACTCCTCTTCCACCCAAACCTGCCCCCCAGGTGCCATCAGAGCATCCTCACGTTGCCTGGTGAGAATCTGCTCCTCTCCCTCCCGCCAAGGAGGTGCCACAAGACTGCAAATCCGCAGGTGCTTTCATCCCACCGGCACAAGCYGTAGGCAGCTGCTTTGGTCGTTAAAGCCTTTTTTAAGGAGCGTGGTCTCACTTTCATTGCAACTAAGAAGATTATAGGGCTAGTGACTACTGTCAAAAGAGAGGTTTCAACAACAAGCACGAAACGTGAATGCTCTTGTAAGCAAATACCGTAAGTGCAGGTCACATATTCAGCAGTTCAGCCTGCCTGTCTCAAATCCCCTAACCCACCATTTAGACTCAACTGCAGCCAATATCTTAAATTGTGTTACTATGGCAGTGAAACCTCGTTGCATGTCTGACGGTTGTCAGACCTATTTTCCCAAAACGGCTGCTCGGGGAGAGTGCAACGGCTGTGGAGACATGGAGGAGGGTGAAACCAGGGAAACTCCTCCACCTTTTTTTTTTTTTTTTTTAGGGGATTTTGGGTATATCCTTTCTGTGCATTGGCTCGCAGCGCTGGCGTGGCCAGGTGGAAACCTCGTGCTTTGCTGCATACCTGAGAGATAGATGTTGTCGCCAGCGCTGACCACGCTGAAGAACTCCCTGTCGTAGAAGGGCAGGCTGGCCAGCGGGTACCACTTGTTGTTCTGGGGGTTTAGGCAGGTGACCGCYGTCAAGGCGCGCTGGTTCATGCCGATCATCTGGCGGCCCCCCACCAGGACGATCACCTCGGCCACCCCTGGGATACGAGGAAAGCGACAGCCAAAAGAAGTGATGGGCCAAAAAAAATCACACTGAGGGCAAAGTGTTTGTGACTGAGGGCGTAAAAATGTGGTTTGGGCTCTATAATCCGAGCAGGGAGGGTGGGGAAAGGGAGCGTATGGGTGGGAGGTGAGCAGGACTTGGGAGCATCGCTGTGAAGGTCTTGAGGATAACGTGGGAAGGAGGGCGCTCTCTGGGCTAAAATGAGTCAAGGGGAAAGGAAATGAACAGCTTTCTCTATGTAAAAGCGGTTCTTGACTTCAATAGGCTTTGTGGGTGAAGCCCTGAAGTGCTGAAGTCTTGCTCTGCTGCCTAAAACGGGAATTTTGCTGGAGATTTGGAAAGCACTAGGGTATCCAGGCATCCAGGTAAAGCCTGGGCCTCAGCCTGAAGAAGCTATTTCCACAGCTAATATCTGGAGGAGATTTGGGCCACGGCTGTGTTTCTGCATCCTTATTTTCCCTCTCCCCTCCGTTAGGAGACGTTTTTCCAGGGGTTTCCCCTCAGGAGGCGCCCGGCGGGCGCGGGGGCCCCTGTCTGCGGTGACGGGCGCCATGCGGCCGCTCGCGGTCATGGCGGCCATTGCGGCCACAGCGGCCATGGCGGCGCTTCTACCTGCGGAGAGCCGGGGCCGCGTGCGCGGCGTCTGCATCTCCTGGCGCGCGTGCGGCAGCATGTGGTAGCGCTTGGCTTCGTTCACGAGGTCCCGGCAGGCCTCCGACGACTTGATGAGCTCCTCGTTGTCCACCACGTTGAGCAGGTAGCTGGGGTGGATGAAGGGCAGGCGCACGACGGCCAGCAGCTCCGCCGCGTACTGCGAGGGGGAAACGTGGCGGGGAAAGGGGAAAAGAGGAAGAAAAAATGCATTTCATAAATGCAAACCRACATATGTGTATGCACCGTGCTGTCTTTTTGCAGAACATATATAACCCCGACGGCTCGAGAAGGCACAAAAGGTTTTTATGAACTTTTTGCACCCGCGCTGGAGCTGAGTGTGAATTTCGCKTCGCCTTTGCAGACTGAAGAACATTCAAGCGACTGAGGCAAGTTGCCACCTTTCTCTTTGTGACTCCCCTACACGGTGGCTTCCCACCTCCACTAACTAGGACTGTATTAAATGTCCTGTTGCTGTTATCCTTTCTGGTTAAGACTGAAATAAGCACGGCCAAGTGCTTCAGTCTTGTTACCATCTGTGGTTGTGCACCTTTTTCTTTCCCTCCTTCCTGCAGCTAGGAAATGTCTACATAGCTATAGCTATTACTGTTTTTTACCTATTTTTTTCTATTTTTTTGACTTTTTTTTTTCCTTCTTCATTCTTGGCATTGCATTTATTTCCCMTAACTCTGGGTGAGTTTTCTTCTTGCTTCAATATCAGATTAAAAATAATCTTTGCTACTCTCAAATCTCTTCTCCATTGAAATCAATGTCCTCTAAAAGGATGCCCGCCTAGGCTTGAGCTGCAGCAGTAGTTTTAAAAGGAAATATGTTTACTGCTACAGACTTAAACTTCCTTCTCCTTACATATTATACTGGAAAGCTCTCAAGATTTTTAGCATTTTTGAAGCAACGCCTGGAGAGGTTAGGGAAAAAAAAATGTTTCCCCTCTGCGTTGTAACTCATCTGTCTCAGCTCTTCCCTACAAAGGACCCTTTGTGCTTTCAGCCTAAAGAAACATATTTGAGCTTGAGACATAAACGCAGGAGTTGTTACATGCGCCATGGGAAGGAAAGGTTTTGCTCCAACAAGCGGCTGCTTCAGCCTAATCCCATGAGGGTTTTAAAAGTGTTTGGAAAGGGGATCGAACCCTGCTCAATCTGCGTGCTGCTGTCTAGGAAATATGCCCGTTTAGGCTCTATTTCCATGTTGCTGCTGCTCTATTTGGTCATTAGGTAATTGCTGTGGTGGGTCCGTGGGCACCGCACAGACGTAGCCTCCAAATCCCTTAATGACAACTCAACAGATTTCCAGTCAAAGGAACCTCTATAATAAAAGTTAATTGTTGAATCCAGGGGGGATATAAGGAACTTCAGACTTCACCTGTGTCTTCTCTACTTATTCCAGCTGCTTTCCTGAAGCTTAATGATCTCATCTACGTTACCTGACCAGTGAACTTCCTGCTGTAATGAACTTGAGTGATCAGTATATGCTGGTATTTATTAGGTATGAGCATTTGAACATAAGAATTACACTGGAATTAGGAGAGTGCGACCTCCCAGCGTCCCAGAGCTCACAGGAGGCTTTTTAATACCCTTACAACGGAGCTATTACTTATTCCCACTATTACTTATTACTATTTGCTATTTGCTACTTACTTATTACTATTTCTTATTACTTATCACATCCCACCCTAGTGCTGGGCTGGTTTTCCACTCTGCACAGCTCCATGAGCCATTAGTGCAGAAATATGGCTCATTACCCAGCGGATCCTCCCAACGGCCCCCGTGGCAGGTACCATTTCCTTGCAGCTTACACAGATGAAATGGAGACAGAAAGGCAAAATAAGTTGCCCAAGGCCACACAGAGTGTGGGGAATAAGGTCAGGTTAAGGCTGTGGGGGCCCACAGTAATCTCTGCCTGTGTTCGGACGCATCAGACCATGCTGGCTTTCACACAGGAAAGCCTCCATTATACAATATATTTTTTTTTTGCATGAGTTCACCAAAGTTGTAATAAGCTTATCAAAGGGAGAGCTGGTGGGATAAACCCTACAATCTTGTCTATCAGTCAGGAAGAGGAATAAATAAGAAAAAAGAAAGAAAATTCAGCTTTTTCGGAGGTGTCAGCCGTCTGCCAGCCTTCCATCGCATGACAAGCAATCAAGGGGATTTCTGAGAGCCAGAACACAGTGTTTGCTGCACGGGAAGCTACCAAAGTATTCAAGAACCTCCCATTGCAGCCTCTTTCTTTGAGCCAGACTCATTTCATGTGCCTTTGCTACCAGCAGCACTAAAATCATTCCAGAGGTGTTGCCATATGCAGACTCCAGTGTAATAGATGACAGACATATATTCACTCAATCCTACACATGTGTCCGACCCAAACTGCCTTAAATAGGTGGATCATGTCTCAGGTGCTGCTTTTTGTAAGGCCACCAAGCACTTTTATCAGCACTGCAAGACTTCATGGGAGCACAAATTGCAGCATTAAAAGCCAGCAGGGCAAAGTCTTTCCCCTTGCCTTGCAAGCGAATCCCAGGTCCCTTCTTGCCTTCCAGCAGTATTTGATAACCCAAAAAGAGCTTTTTCAAAGGCAGAAGAAGGGGCACCGAGGCTGCCCACGGCTGCTCTGGAGGCAGAAGATACTGATTTAAAGAGATGGCAGCTTCTCCCACCCCACTGCTGAGCAAACCTCACCTGGCCTAGGCCAAGAAAGATGCATGAGAAACCCAGAAGGGCACTTGCCTTTCGCTCCCTGTGCCTGGGAGAAGGACTAATGCTCTGCTTGGAAGGAGCAGCCATGGGGGCACCTCCATCACCTGAGCTCCTGGAGCAAAACTGCTTTAATGTGATGGCAGAGTTGGGCCTGTCAGCCCAAGGGAGGGGGGAAATACAAAGAAATGGCCCCGGGAAGTCCAGATCCAGAGAGATTTATCTGCTGGAGCTGCCTCTGGCAGTGCTGTGTAACCAGCTGGGTCTGTGGCTGGTGTAATTCATGACTGCAAGTCTCCAGCCCTGGCAGACCCATCTGCGGGATGCACAAGGGGTCATCCCTGCTGCTTTGGTGGCTCTCGTGTGCTGGCTCCCCATCCAAAGAGCTGGAAGGGAAGGAGCTGAGTGGATCCCCCCGACCGAACCGGGAATAAAGGCCACATCTCCGTGCACAGCTCTTGGAAGGGTTCGCGTTCGCTGTGGCCAGGTCCAGCTCTGCAAAGCTCGGAGGGCCCCGAGCGCCCTTGCTGATTTCATGGGAATGTGGGCAGCAAAGTGGGCCTTATTTCAACCCAAATGCGAGATTTTTCACTCATCATCCTTATCAGACAGAAGACATCATCCTTATCAGACATTATTTAGGCCTCTCCTTATCCACCCTCAGAGTTCCCAGGTTCTGAAAAGGCAGAAAGTCATTACTGTAAAGACAGCATTTTTTCATGGCAAGAGCGAGTTCCTGCTTTTAGAAAATAAGTAGCTATTTAAGTAAGAGCTTTGTAATAGAACAAGCTGTGCCCGGAGAAAAGGTAGTGAGAGCTACCTGCTTCAGTGGTAGGATTGGACAAGAAAATATTTAGCTACTTGGTATCTTTAATATTAATTTACCCAGGACCCTCATTGCTGGATAAATGCAAATGAAAAATGCACAGCCCTTGTAAAGTAATACATGAAACTGGAGCATCACAGAGAAATTTGGAGAAGTGAATAAAACTGCTGCTGTCAACTATGCAGCACTTCAGAGGAAAGGGAAAAGGGAAAAGAGAAAAGGGAAAAGCAAAGAGGAAAATGGAAAGGAAGAGGGGAGGAGACAACGATCGTGGTGGCAGCAAAGAGAGAGGATAAAAACCCACCAAAATAAAAAATAAAAATAAATTTGCAAATACTCAAGGCAGATGTTGGCCCTTCCAGCAATGATCAACCAGCACCTCTGGCTTCTCTCCAGCACTGAGGGGAGAGGGTGAAAACAACCTTCCCCTTTGGGGGAGAATCACCCTCCTCACGAGCAGGAAGCCCTACCTGTGTAAGCCGCATCCTGCACAAGCCAAGGCACGAGGAAAGTTTTTAGGTATCTCCAAAGCAGGTTTGTGGTCCCAAGACTAACATTTTGTCGGGGCTGTCCTCAGAACAGTGCCCGCTGCTCCCTGCAGCCAGTTCTCTGTTCTCCAGCTCAGACCGAGTAACACACGGGGTGCCTTGAGCTGGGGTGGACTGCCTGGCTCATGGTTGAGCAGAGCCTAACTCTATTGAATATATAATACCCAAGGGGTTATCTACGCAGCCAGAAAGATACAGAACCTTTCTGTGTACTGAACTTACACTTTTAGCATGTGGCATCAAAACAAATACTGATTTTATGATAATTTCTTCCCCTGGTGTCACTAAAATGCATCCCCTTCCTCAAATAATGGCTTGCACCACTCTAATCCTTCCTTGTTTATCTGTGACCAAACCTGCAGCCAGCAGCTCCAGGCTCTGGCTTTGTATGATGCTTGCCACAAATAAGATTTGGATTCTAACCGATCAGATATGGGGATCAGATTTTGAAAATACAAAAATTTTGCACACACACATTCTTTTTTTCCCTCTTTATCTCAACTTTCCATCCCATCTCCTACTCATGCTCAGGTCTAAACCTGCATGGGGATGGTTCCTGTTTTAAAGAAGCCTTTATGAGCACCCAGCAGAGCGAGGCTCCTTGTTACCTGCGCTCGGATTGCAGCGTCCTTCTTAATCCACTTGATGACCGTTTCGTACACCAGCTCCTCCGCTTTGGTGTTGAGGCTGTCGTTGGACATGTAGGAGATGAAGTCGTCTTTGGAGATGTTGAGGATCTCCTCTTGGTTGGCCACCTCCGGGAAGATCTGCAGGGCATAAGCCTTGGCCATGTTGTAGAGCTCCGTGCACTGCATGGCTTCGGCCATGGCTAATATCCCTAAGCAGTTGCTGGCGGTCAGCTGTTTTTCTACAAGGAAACATGAACAGGGAGCACATGAAAAGGGGGAATTACTAAAAGGGAGAGGCCCCGTTTTCCTTGCGCCCATGCAAGGAAATGCTGAGTGTGGCTCGGATGCAGCTCCAGCCCCGGGGAATCTCGAGGTGTTAACGAGCTGCAGCAACCTGCGTTGCTCTAGGATGGGGGCTTAAAATAAAACCTCCGCGTTCGTCTAGCGGCCGCAGCCGGGGAGAGAAGCGCCTCTTTGCGGGTGTTTGCTTTGGGTGCGAATCTTCCCAGCACGCCGAGAGAGCAGGAATAGCAGCCGGGGCTTCCCGCGGGAGGGAAGGCAGCCAAGAGCCCGCCGCCGCCGCTTCCACCGCCCCCGATGCCGCTCCGGGAAGCGGCAGGGATGGCAGCAGCGGCGCAGACACCGGGGAGCCAATGCAAACAGCACCGGGGGCACCTCGGCGGGTGCTGTAGCCGCTTCAGGATAATTTCTGCCCCGTTCAGCAACCAAACTACTTCAAATAAGGATCAAAAACAAAATAAAAATCCCTCTGTTTTTTTTTTTTTTTTTTTTCTAAGGGAACTTTGTTGCTGCTGAACATGGAGAGATCCCTTGTGTGAAGCACAGATGATACCAGCGGGGTCTGTGAAACGCTGTGCAGAGGGTTTCAAAGCAGCTCCCCTGCCCGGTGCACGGAAGCCACGTGTCGGACGCGGCTCTCTCCTGCCTGGCTGCCATGTCCAGCAGTGCTAAAGGGAGCTCTCAGCTTCCTCCCAGCTTTTGTTAATGACTAACAGTGCGTTTTAAGATAGAGGAGTAAGGAAAAACAAAAACTGAAAGATGAGGGAGAGAGAAAGAGGCTGCAGTGKATCACGCTGGTGCTGGTACCGTGGGCGGGCATCTGCGCTGCYGGGGGAAAAATCCATCCAGTCTGGGCAGCACCGTCTCCCACCACGTTGTTTCGGAGCATGGAAATGTGAGAAAGGCCCAAATCTCTCCTACTGCAGCTCCCAGCAGACTAGCTCCCCTGAAAAGGCTCCACGGCTTTTCCCCACTCGCCCCTTCTGCCTTCATCTGATTCAGGATGCCACCGTGCACTATCTATATGTGCTTTTTATTACAATAGGATTATGATCTATTTTTTTTTCCTCTATTTGGCAGTAGATTAGGGGTTTTGTGGTTTTTGCTTTTTTTTTCCTCTAATGCTTTTTATTGTTTTTTTCTTTCTTTACAGGTTCACCAATCCGGAGGCTCCAGTATCTCATTGGGGATCAGGCGATTGCAGGGCCTCCGACAAGCCCCATTTCCTCGGGCAGGCTGGAGCAGCAGCTCCCGTTTCTGCCACTCAAAGCTTGGCCAGCGCCAGGCTGCAAACCAAAAGCTGGGAAGCACAAAGCTCCCCAAATTTCTGCTTTTCAAAAACAAAAATAATAAAAAACGCCCCCCGCCCCGAAAAAAAGATGCCTTGGGTCTGCCAGTCTTCAGTGTTGCTTTTGAAAAATGCAGTCTCACATATATCTATAGCTAGGTGTACATACCTATATTCTATATAGAGGATAAAAATATCTCAGAACAGGGAGCAAAATTCTCCTTGTCACTTGGCAAACTCTAAACGCCAGAAAACCTGACATTGTCCCACCATGGATGCATATAAGGTTTATCATAAAGGTACTAAGTGTGTTTTACTCCTTATGCAGTTATTTATTAGTGCATGATGAAAAAAATAAAAAGCTTGWAGTTGAGTCTTCACCCAAGGGACTAGATCTGCTTTTATGGGGAAAGATTCCTGCAGGTCCCAGCTGAGCAATGGGCTCTGTCATGGGGCAGAAGAAGGGCTGGTCCTGGCCCATTTTCTTTGGTCTAGACAGTCTTTCTTATATTATCTACTTGATAGTACAACTATCTACTTGACAGTTATATCTACTTGAGGATGAGCAGAATTGTGTCCTACTRATGCCTGTGATTTTTCACTGACTACACAAGGAGTCTAAATGATGACTTAGGAACTTCTACTCGACAATATAGCCCACCTGCAATCCTGGGGCCCTTCTGGAGGCTGACATGGAAGGGGCAGCTGAGGACCAGCTCTGCCCCATGTGCTCCTTTCCCTGCGGATGCTGAGGTGGCTACAGGAATCGCTGTTTCTGTCACCCTGGCACCGGCCTTGAAGCGATACCTTTTGGTGGCACCTCATCCTGAGCCCATTCGGATCACAGCTGCTGACTGCTAAGCTATTTTCAACACTCAAGGACAGTTAATAACTGACTTAGGAGGGAGCTTTAAGGATATGGCATCTAATCCAGCAGATTCTCACTGRTTTGGAACACGGTCGGGTATCATATAGTTCCTATGCATGTCACAAAACCACCCATGTCCTGCACTTGTGGTGTGTGATTTTGGGCTGGGATCCCATGTGTTAATCAGCCAGACAAACTGCCCCGACTGCGCTTCTGGGAGCGGGATGAAGGCAAGAGCTGGGATAAAGTCAGAGCTAGATGGTTTGCATGAAGGATTACTTAGTGAGGCTGCAGGAACAGTAGCGGGGAAGATCTGGGGCTGACATAAGCCCTCTCCGTGGGCATTAAATAATGTGCTAGATGGTTTGTGGATGATGAGTTGGATATCACTAAAATTATCATGAAACCTGCACGTCCTCATCGTGCTTTACATCTCTTTAGATACAGTTTGCATTGCTTGGTTATTCATGCTTCTGTGAAATGCAGGTGAAGACGGKTGAGAGGTTTAGGAGAGCTGGATGCATTCACCTTCCAAAGATTTCAGTTCCCCTGGGAGAATGATCTTCGTTTCTCCTGTCTCTAGATTTGGCTGCTGCTTTAATTTCCCTCCTGCTGGCAACCTGGTTCTCCCAAAATATTCCCTCTTGGCTGAACAATTGCCTAAATGACATTTTTTGAGTTCATAAGGACCTCAAAAGCCTCTTCTTCCTCCCTCAGAGGCCTGTCTATGGAGATCTCATCACTGGTCCTCAGTTCAGCTGCCTCTCCTTCCTCCCAAGAGTCCTTGTGCCCTTTCCCAAAGGGTCTAGGAAATAAAAAAAAACTATAAAAGTCGGAGCTCCTACTCTTTCCTGTTCTCCCCTATGAATGTACCAGGCACCGAGTCCTTTAGCCTGGAGGAAGCAAACTTTTATTTTTTCAGCAGCAGGCTGAAGTAGGAGCTCACAGTTTGCTCATTCCTGTGGTAGCCCAAACCATGACACCGATGAATCTCCTGAGTTGTGATTTAAGCCATGACTGTGTCGGTACTGTAGCTTCTTTGGAAAACAAACACGAAAAAGAGAAAAAAAAAATCCACAATGCTTAAGCCATCTGGATGGAGGAAATACCTACGAAATCCTGACCCGTTTGCAAACATTTCCCTGGTTATCATATGGCACCTTGACTAACTTGTCAGCATTGCGGCATCAGCCAGCATGAAACTGTTGTCATTTGTCATGCTCTAGACAAAAGCAGCATGTGGGGAAGAGAGAGACCGTGGCTGCAGACACCTCGTGACGTGGCTTGGGAAATCTCCCTTTGAAAGGGAACCGTTTTCCCAACACGTTTTCAGCAGGTCTCCACCACAAAGGGCAGGTAGGTTCTGGTGCTCCTGCCCACAGCCACCCCACTGCAGAAGAGATGAGACCCCACAGCAGAGAAGAGATGACTGGGCTGGCTGGACACCATTCCCATGGAGCCCCACAGCTTTATCTGCATTAGATCTGAGATGGTGCCATGCTGTGCTCACCAGGCCTATGGCATTTTGGGTTTTCACTTTTATTTGGGCCTCTTTTCACTTCCTTCTCTTTCTCTTCCAATTTTTACGTGCCTATCGATGGCAGAGAAGCACTGCTTATATTGGTGAATTCCCCACAAACCCCAGAGGAATAAAACAAAAAGTATTTTTTACAATATCCATGGTTTTTCCTTTGGGGGCTGAGAGGGCCCGGACTGAAAAAAAAAAGTAATAATAAAAAAAATCAGCCAGAAAGAAGACAAAATACCTTTCCCTGAACTTTTTAGATGGCAAATGCTCTACTATCTCTGTAGAGCAATCCAGTCGCAGCTATAAATAAAAATAAGCAATTACACTCCATGAATTCTCCAAATGAGAATACAAAATTCCAGCGGCTCCCCATATATCACTTAACTTATAGCCAACTCTCCTATTTCATACCATAACATGGTTCACTGAATTCATATATTAAATATCGGAAAAGGGAAATCTCACATTGATTTAGTGAAATAAATGTATTTTGTTTCTGTGGCTGAATCTGTAGAGATAGTGCAACTTAAATACATCTTCTGTTCCTGGAAAGGCCATAAGATCTAATCATTTTTAAAAGGTGGTGAAGAGAAGCTGGGGAAAAGCAATGCTGGAGCAAGAGCCCTCATTCAGGTTCCACAACCAACCTCGTGGGACCGCAAGGAATAGTTTGTGCTTTGCCACTGCCCACACATTCAAGAAAATACTTGTAAACAAGTGACACATATAAATTTGGAAAGAACTGATATAATACCACAGATCCTTTTCTGATCTACTGCAGTTATATCAGCCTAGTTACATCACTAATCTCACTAGCAGGGGAGTAGTAGTAGTAATTGCCTTGTAGTGGCAATTAATGCTAGTAAATCAGACCCACTTGATTTTTTTTTTCTTTCTTTTTTTTAAATGAGTGCAACGTTTTCTAGACTCTCATCTTCTGCTCACTGTAGTTTTAGATGCTGATGTAAAATGAGAAGCTACCCTGAGAAACATGGTGGTAACGTCGCCAGTAAAATTTTAGGGGTTGAGGGAGATATTTTAAATCCTGAGTAGAAATCAGGTGTGTCAAAATATTTCACACTTAAGTAATTCACACAAGGTCAAGCTCACACTTTTTGTACTAATAAGATTATGTTAATCAATAATTCATAGCTGCCAGTGAAGAAGTGGCAGGTGACACAGGCAGGAATTGGGACCAACACGTTTTCCAGTTAAGTTACAGTTCTGGTTCCTCTTCTCTCACGACAAAAATAGGGCTGATGATTGGTTCCAGGTCAGACCAGAAAAGCTTTGTTAACTAAGCTGTTAACCACAGACACAGTTTGAAATACTTTGTGCTGGAAACTGCATGGAGCAAGATCACACCATGCTGTGGGTTGGGAGATCAGACATCTCATGTGGCCATGAGGAGAAGGCCACTTGCTCTGTGCAAAAACAAACCTGTGACCACTCAATTTGTGGTAGATAAAGCAGATTGTGCCTACAAGAACACAGTGAGTGGAAGGAATTTCTCAGGGATGGAAGAAAATTGCAGAATGTGACTCCTTGARGGGAGACCATCTCCACCTCCTTCAGTGCAAGGCCCATCCATCTGCCCGAGCACCCAGTGCTGGGTGTCATGTCAGAGGCAGCCTGCGCTTTCCAGCCTGATCAACCTCTGTGAAATGAAATGTCACCATGATCCCAAGTATAAAAATACCACAAGAGTCTGTCCGGGATGTCAACTGGCTGCTGCTTGAACAACTGGCTTCACTTCTTTAGATCCTTTTCCAACAGCCCCCATGCCACCATTTTAAACTCAGCTCTCAGCCCAAAGAATTCATGCTTTGCGTTATATCTAATATCCGATTTCCTCACTCCCTTTTCATAGGCATTATAAAAACGCTTTAAAAACCTTAACATGAGACCTCAAACTCTGACCAGATACCAGGGTTCTTACCTAGAAAGGAAACGCAGACCTTACAAAAGGTGTGAAACTGGAACTTGCTGGCAGCTTCCAGTAGAGTTTTCGCATTGGCCGAATCGATGATCAAAGAACCTGTATAAACAAACTCCAGGAGCAGCTCTAGGACGTCCGCGGTGAGGTTTGACATGGCCAGTTCCAACTTCTCCCCGCTCCGGCTCCCATCTCGAGGAGACCTGGCAACAGCAGACAGTGAAATTACGGACATTTCGCCACCCCCAGCTTGTTGGCACTTACTGATTAGTGAGGGCTACGAAATCACTTTGCCTCATTACATTTCTCCTTTTTTTTTTTTTTTTTTTTTTTTTTTTTTCATTACGGAACTGAAGAATATGACTTTTAAATTAACTGAACTTAAAGACTTTTACTGGATCTGAAAGAGAAGAGTCTTAAAGCAAGTTTTACAGAAAATCTGTTTATTGCTACTCTGCATTTTCATGCAAAAACAGTTGCAAAACAAAAGGAAAGGAAAGAAAGAATAAGAAAAAAAAGAATGAGCCAACATTAATGAAAATGAGGAACGGGATTAGCTTTCAAAGGGAAACAATACATTTTAACATCTTGGTTAACATCTCATCTTCTGTGCATAATATAACTGTTAAGGAAAAAATAAACCCTTCAATTTCAACAGAAAAGGTCATCTAGTTTTCCAGGAATCCAGTACGAGAATAATTTTAAATGTCATGTGCCTTTAAGGATACATTTTAAGACCTTTTCATCAGAAATAACAATAATAGGTATTAATTTCTGTTTGGYCTGGACTCCTCAAAGTTTTACATCAAAGTATATATATGATATATACGATATACGTGTACACACAGCCATATAAAATATATATACTTATTCTCCAAAATCTATTGTTCCCTTTTAGGCACTAAAAAAAGGAAGCCCCTCATGGCAATTGCTTTGAGAACTGAATACGAGACAAGATAGACAGACAAAATGGTTAGAGCGGAGAAGGGAGAGGGGGAAGACAACAACCAGCTCTGCCACAGGAAGCCAGCAGCCATCCTCTAGGAGTTTCATGACTGTGGCCTACGGTTTTTCCTGCATGACGTGCTGAACAATTTGGGGAATCAAAGTATCTCCTGCATTTGAAGTGTGCATTAGTGCTTGTGAAATATTGGACAAAAAAAAAATAAAAATAAAAATCATACTGAATTAAAAACAACAAAAAAAAGGGCCCCGTTCCTAACGCATGGTTGGCTGATGTGTCTGCAACACTAAAGGCAGGTGACACCTGAAAGACAAAAGCGATAAGAAATTTGGTAATGTCAAGGAGGGGAGATCTGTTGGAGCAAGAAAACAAACTCTTGTAACGGTTAGGACCATCCAGCAGCTTCTCAAGGAAACACGAGCGTGTCCTACGCCCCGGGCAGCCAGCGGGGCTCGGCTCAGCGCGGGGGAGAGGCAGCGCGCGGCGGACGCGAGAGCAGCGGAGCAGCGGCCCGCGCGGCCCGGCCGGCGCCAAACGGGAGCCAGGGCCCTTCCCCACCGCTCCGAGCTGCCTGGAAAGCTGCTGCTCGGACCCGCACGGCTGCAACGGAGCAAGGGGAAGCAACGCGCGGGGCTCGGGGCTGTTCCCTGGTAAAAATTACGAATGAATCGCCCAGCTCTCTAGCAACGCCTAGAATCATTTGGGGGAATACTTATTTTTTTTTCCTAGTTTTCCAGCAGGTGCTTTGTCACTGCTCTTCTGTGCGCTAGTCCTGTTTGAGGCAAGGGCTCTGTTCTTAGTTAAAATGAATTTCTGGTGTATGAAGGCCTTACAGAGGTTTCCTTTTGCTATTTAAAGGATCTATATGCTCTCCCTTACCATAATGAAGCTGCATCTAGCAATCCTTCCTTTCACGTGCTTCCCTAAGGGAGCCAACAACTGCAACTCCCATTCTCCAAAAGGGCAACTGAGGCACTGGCCAACAAAACCACTTGCCACGGTCGTACACAAAGTCAGTGGCAAAGCAAGGAACCAAAACCCATTTCTTTTATCCTAAATATCGGCCTGTCCCCTTCACAGAATCACAGAATATTCAAAGTTGGAAGGGATTCCCTAGAGATCATCTAGTCCAACCCCCCTGCTCCAGCAGGGACATCCAGATCATGGGGCACAGGGTGGCATCCAGGCGGGTTTTGAAGACCTCCGGAGAAGGAGACTCCACAACCTCCCTGGGCAGCCTGTTCCAGGGCTCTGTCACCCTCAMAGGAAAGAAGTTCCTCCTCATATGGAGATGGAACCTCCTGTGTTTCAGCTTATGTCCATTACCCCTTGTCCTATCGCTGGCCACCAATGAAAAGAGCTTGTATGACCCTTGCATGGTTATGCCATGGGRTTACATGCTATTCCACAAGCAGAAATAAGAAAATACACACTGATTGTGGTGCCCCAGCATGCATATGTGTGTACACCACCCCGAACCCCCGTCCYGTGAGCTTTCCTTGCACGTGGATTTGCCCAACAAGCGACAAGAGTTGCTAGATCCTCCAGGGGATGTCACCAAATGCTGTTTTCTCTCCCTCATCCTCCTGTTCCTGCAGCCTTTCCCCCTATCTGGTTATCCCCTGCAGCGGTGCCCACATCTGGCACTGCACCCAGGGCTGCCAGCGACTTCACCACGGGGCTGAGCAATAAAGGCAATAATTTAAGGCAAATTAGGAGGCACCCAGCAAGCGACGGACTTGAGCTCATTGCAGGGAGTGCAGCCCCACTGCAAGCAGCTCCTTATTTATGGCACTAATTCCTCTGCACTGGTGGCGGCCACGGGAATGTTTCCCTGCATCCCACCCCGGACACCTGGGCCCCCCGGCCACGCTCCGCTGTCGGCAACGCCGGCGAGCTGCTTGTTTTTTTCTTTTTTTTCCCCAGAATAATTAAGTAATAATCTCTTTTACTCTGTAATGCGCCAAGCAATAAACTGCTGCTGCAATTGATTAAACGCCAAAGAAAAGCTAAGGCGTTTAATCAATCACGAGAGCCACTTATGGCAAGTATAATACAAAGCCACTGAGATTATTGATATTACGCAATGAGCCAGAAATGGGAGAGAAAATTGTCGCCGCGCYGTCCTCAGCGGTGCTGTAAGAGCTGTTTTGCTTGGGATTTCTAAGCAGCCAACCCTAAAGGGCTGGAGACCTGGTACAGCAGGTCCTAACGGGTCAAAAAATGAGGTTTTGATGAAACAGAGTTAAAAAAAAAAGATATGTGTGGGAACATACTTAGGTGACTGAGCAGGGAGATATAGAAATTGCATAAATTTCTTCCCTGAAGTGATTTCACTAAAGCAGGTTGTGGAATCCCTTTCTTGGCTTCACTAAAACAGTTTTCTGCACTCCTTATTTTAATGTGCATGATAAAATCAATAACCTCTGTGCAGTTATACTTCACATACCTGAACCTATCTGTCCCAGTCGTTCTAGAGTAATGGCAGCAAACTGGCCAAAGCTGTCTTACAATAAGATCTATTTGATTTGGAAATATTTCTAAACTCCACATTATTTTATTTAGAATTGAATGTTCTGTTCAATTTAAGAAGGGACACRCTGTTGGTTAGGGGAAAACAGGCACGAATGAAGACAATTGTGCCCCAAATATTTGATCAGGCATTTTGGGGAGCCTTGGTGCTTCTGCCGCTCTCGAATCCAGGCAGTGTTCCCTTATTGTCCATGGACATCATGAAGTGTGGCACATTTTGTTATTTGCTGTGTGAACTCCCCGGGTTTAAACGGAATGATGTCATTTTATTGGCCTTCTAATCATTGCTCATATTATAAAGGTCACACGTTTCACTCGGTGGCAGAAAATCGATAACTCTCCCACCAGCCTCTGGGGGGGAAAGTTTGCTTCCAAAGAATAATATGTAATAAACAATTTTCGCCCTTACTTTATCATTGCTGTAATCTCAGAGAATGGCTACAGCAAAAATCTGGCAAAGGCTGATATATATAAACTCATTAAAATTAGGGAGTGATTTAGAGCAGGAGTTTTAAAATGTTTATCTTGGGCTAAACAGCAAAGGGGTTTGTTTAGGTCTGTGACAAGGTACAAGAGCTCTTTAACGGCTTAATTTTATGGTGGCTGTTGGGGAATTCTTGCAGATTTACAAATCCTGCCTTTCCCTGGCAAGGGGAGGGACCTGGACAATGTGCAAGCAGAGCTGAAACAACAGATAAGCCGAAGCACCCATGCGCTCTGGATGGATATGGTGGGATTCCTCAAAATTACTTGCATTTTCCAGCATAAATTAAAGGCAAGGCCATTGGAGCCTGTTCTGCCTACCTAGCCTTGAACTTAACTGCTTAAACTGGAGAAGACAAAGGCACAGGGAGCCTCTTAAAGCAATGACAAGACAGAATTAATGTCTCTTTTTTAAGGTAACATATAGAAAAGAGCTAAAACGTGCCTCGCCTGCAAGACCTTAGGGATCCTGCCACCAGCTTCTCTTCAGACCTTCCCTGTTTTGGGRMCTCCACGTCAAGCCCGATGCTGGAAGCCCCATGCAGAGTATCCCGAGCCGTGTTTTGGAGCTGCTCCCTTCCCATGTGGAGCAAAGCCCCTCCGCAGGCTTCAGTGCAAACTAAATGGCTTTGCCTCCCGAGCAGCGCTCGCTCTACGGAAAACAGGAAAGCCGAGATCGTGATGGAAGATAGAGCACTTAAATGAAAGGAAGCTGCTTTTTACCTCCCTTAAATTACCCTGATTGGGACTCCGGGCTGGAATTGGCAGCTTCTCATGAGGTTTAAGAGTCTGTTAGTTGCGGATTCATTAAAACCTCCTGCTCAAGTCTGCACAATTCGGACCGATCATCTCGTTTACACATCACATCATCCTCAAGGCACTGAAACCCAGGCAGAGAGCAGCATTGCTGCGCCTCAGCCCGCCACTATTTGATTTTTCACCRTCCTCAAAGTTATTAAACAGTTTGGAAACCATATTTGTGTTTATCTCGGGAGAAGCAACAGAGAAACTTGGTTGCATCGTGGCCAACCTGCAGCAAAGCCACCCCACTCCATGGGGAAAGGGCCTTTCCGTACCTGCAGATTTGATCTGCAGATTCTGGGGTAGAAAGGGGCATCTGTAGATGCCCCTGGGGTAGAAATGCACCCTGTCCCCACTGCACCTGCATGCACTTGCACAGCACACACCCCACGCTGCCTGCCCATGTCCTGTCCACAAGGTATT